ACTCTGTTGTTAAACAAGATGGTCACTATCAACTTAGACTTCCATTCCGTCAAGAGGAGGTTCACCTACCTAATAATAGAACAATAGCTGAACAGAGAGCTAATACCCTCATGAAGAGATTCCAAAGGGATGACACGTTATTGACTGATTATAAGGAATTTATGGGTAACCTCTTGGAGAAAGGGTATGCCGAAAAGTTGACACTAGATCAGCTGTCAGGAAAATTCGGAAGAGTATGGTACATACCCCATCACAGCGTGTACCACAAGAGGAAAAAGAAAATTAGGGTTGTATTTGATTGCGGATCTTCATTTCAAGGCACATCCTTAAATAAAGAGCTTCTTCAGGGACCTGATCTCTCAAACAGTCTCCTCGGAGTTATCCTTCGATTCCGTCAAGAACCCGTGGCAGTCATGGCGGATATCGAAGGAATGTTTCATCAAGTTAAGGTCACACCTGAGGATGTTGACTCTCTGCGGTTCTTATGGTGGCCTAACGGTGACATTAGCCAACCATTGGCAGAGTATCGGATGTTAGTTCACCTCTTCGGTGCCGTCTCTTCACCTAGTTGTGCAAACTATGCACTCAAGAAAACGGCAGAGGACAATGAGAGCAGCGTTGGTAAAGAGCTTCTTAGTACCATTCGAAGGAACTTCTATGTTGACGACTGCCTAACTTCCTTACCCAATGAGGATGCAGCTATTGCCCTGATTCGAGACTTGAGAGCGGTCTGCGCCACCGGTGGATTTAGACTGACAAAGTGGACAAGTAATGGTCGCTCTGTCCTAGCTTCAATTCCAGTGGAGGAGAAGGCCAATGATGTGAAGGCTTTAGATCTTGATATTGACAAACTCCCTGTGGAAAGAGCTCTTGGAATTCAGTGGAGCACTGAAACAGACTCCTTTTTCTTCAAGGTTAACTTAAAGGAGCAACAGTCTACCAAGAGGACTATTCTTTCTACTGTGAATTCCATCTACGATCCAATTGGATTTCTCGCCCCATTGATTCTTCCTGCAAAAAGAATCCAACAGGAACTTTGCAAAGTCAGCTGTGGTTGGGACGATAAGATTCCAGACAATTTAACAAAATACTGGGAGGAATGGCTAGAGGGTTTGGACAAACTTAACCACCTAAGTATTCGCAGATGTTTTAAACCAGCAAGTTACGGCAAAATAAAAACTGCCCAGCTACATCACTTTAGTGATGCGAGTGAATCAGGGTATGGTATTGCTAGTTACCTGCGCCTTACCAACATCAGTGGTGATGTTCATGTTACCTTTGTATTGGGCAAGGCCAGAGTTTCTCCATTAAAACCTGTAACTATTCCCAGGCTTGAGTTGGCAGCTGCTGTCCTTGCTACATGTGTTGATAGGATGCTCAAAAGAGAAATGGAAATTCCACTCACAAAATCCGTTTTTTGGACAGATAGCACATCTGTCTTAAAATACATCTTTAATGACACAACACGATTCAAAACATACGTTGCAAATAGGGTCTGCAAAATACGTGATCTGTCCGAGAAATCTCAGTGGCATTATGTGAATGGCTCACTGAACCCTGCAGATGCGGCATCACGCGGCCTATCGATCGATTCCTTTCTTGGTTCAGAAAGATGGTGGAACGGTCCAGAATTCCTTTCACTACCTGAATCAAACTGGCCTTGCTTTCCGGAGGAGCAAATGACCATATCTTGTGACGACTCCGAGATAGTGAAAAGGGCTATAGCTTTCACTATAGTTTTAACAGGAGGCTCTGATACTGTTAACAAATTAATCGAGCACTTCTCTTCTTGAAATAGCCTCAAAAGGGCTACTGCATGGATCCTGAAATTTAAAAGGATGCTCCGGATGATGAGCCAAAAACAAAAGAATGCTCACTCAATTGTTCATCTACAAAGCACTGATCCTTATTCAGCCAGGTCCAATGACAGGAGAGCTGAGAGCAAAACTCAATTCGGAGAGAAAGAGCTTTCAGTGGACGATCTTAAACAAGCAGAGAAGGCATTAATAGGCTTTGTTCAGCAACAGACATTTCAATCGGAAATGACGTCTCTGACAAAAGGACATACTGTTAAGAAAACTAGCAGTATCTACAAACTGGACCCTTTTCTGATGGATGGTATCCTAAGAGTTGGAGGGAGGCTACACAAAATGTCAATGCCTGAAGATTTGAAGCATCAAGTCATTTTGCCAAAAAACAGTTATCTGTCCACATTACTTTTAGATCACATTCATCAATCGGCAGGTCATTGTGGAAAAAATCAGATACTCTCAAAGCTGCGCCAGAGATACTGGATAGTTCATGCGAATTCCGCTGCTCGGAAGCTAGTCAGGAACTGCCTGCCATGCAGACGTTGGAACGCACCGGTAATGGAGCAAAAAATGGCCAATCTACCTCTAAGTCGTCTAGCTTGTGACTCCCCTCCATTTACATGCGTAGGTACAGATTATTTTGGTCCAGTCGAGGTAAAAAGGGGCCGGAGCCTGGTAAAGAGATACGGTGTCTTATTTACATGCTTGGCCAGCAGAGCAATCCATCTAGAAATGGCCTATTCGTTGGATACAGATTCCTGCATTTTGGCCTTGAGAAGGTTCATATGTAGAAGAGGTCAAGTTCAAGAAATGATATCAGACAATGGAACTAATTATGTAGGAGCCGAACGAGAGCTTAGAGATTGTCTCGCTCAGCTGGATAACAGCAAGATCAAGCGTGCAATGCTAAACGAGGGAATCAAATGGAGTTTTAATCCTCCCTCAGGAGCTCATCATGGAGGCGTATGGGAAAGGCTTGTCCGCATCATTAAGAAGTCTCTGTATTCCGTCCTAAAACAACAAGCCTTAGATGAAGAGGGACTACAGACAGCACTTTGCGAGGTAGAGGCTATAGTCAACGATCGCCCTATTACCACCATATCCGATGATATCACCGATCCCGAGCCTCTTACACCTAATCATCTTCTACTGCAGAAAGGAAAACCGATTCTGCCTCCTGGATTGTTCATAAAAAACGACTTGTATTCAAGACGGAGATGGAGACAAGTCCAGTATATCAGTGATTTATTTTGGAAGAGATGGACAAGAGAGTACCTGCCACTGATGCATAGAGAGGCAGAAATGGCATGAAGTGCGAAAAAATCTTAAGCCAGGGGACATAGTTCTTATAGTGGACGATACATCACCCAGAAACTCTTGGCCTATGGGACGGATCACAAAGACCTTGCCTGACAAAAGAGGACACGTTCGTCGTGTCTTGGTCAAAACAAAGTCCAACACACTGGAAAGACCTATTAACAAACTATGTCTTCTTCAAGAGTAACCCTAATAGTAACTTCAGTTACTTGCAGAGTTGACATGCTCTCTTGATCACCACTTTTGACTAATATTTTTTGGACATATTTTTGAACCTTTTTTTTTTATTGATTTTTCCATTGGACTATTTTTGACTATTTTTTCTTTCTTTCTTTTTTCTTTTTTTTTCCATTGGACTATTTCGGACACTTTTTTGTGCATGAACAGATTTAAAAAATCTTGAAGTACATTGTAAATATGTCTTTATATGGCTCCTCAATATATGTATATTTTATATAATTGCCTTGTTATCGTCAATTAAGGGGCCGGAATGTAGGAGCCATAAGGCTATTAATAATGTTACTTAATGTTATGGCTATATGTAACTACTGTCTGAACTCCCCCCGGGGGTAAAGGGAAAGAATTGCACCCCTTTTGGGGACTTCCTGAAGGTAGCCATCTTAAGCAGGAAGTGATGTGGCAAGGGGAGGGGAAGGGAGACAGTTTTTTGACCTACATTACATCACACTGCTTGTTTTGGAGCACAGAGTTTTGTTTTTAAGTTTTCACCTTTTTGTTACAATAAAGCTCAAGTCTTGTTAAAACAGGTGTAGCGTCAAACATACTTTCCCTCATGGAAGTGGCTTAAGAAGGCAAGGAAGCCATTACACTTGGTGTCAACAGTTTAGAATAGTATTTATAACGTGTAATACTCACAAAAGTGAGTACATCCCTCACATTTTAGCAAACATTTATTATATCTACTCAGGGGACAATACTATAGAAATGGAACTTGGATATATTTTAGAGTTTGTCAATGTGAGAAAGCCCGCAAACAGTTTGCTGAAAGCAACCTGTCCAAGAGCATGAATTACTGGAACCATGTCCTGTGGTCTGATGAGACTAAGATAAACTTGTTTGGCTCAGATGGTGTCCAGCAGTACCAAGAACATTGTGTCTTGCCTACAGTCAAGCATGGTGGTGGTAGCATCATGGTCTGGGGCTGCATGAGTGCTGCTGGTACTGGGGAACATGGATTCCAACATGTACTGTGACATTCTGAAGCAGAACACGATGCCCTCCCTTCAGAAACTGGGCCAAATGACATGATAACGACCCCAAACACACCGCCAAGATGACAACTGCCTTGCTGAGGAAGCTGAAGGTGATGGAGTGGCCAAGTATTTCTCCAGACCTGAAACCTATTGAACACCTGTGGGGCGTCCTCAAGCGGAAGGTGGAGAAGCGCCATGTGTCTAACAGCCAGCAGCTCCGTGATGTCATTATGGAGGAGTGGAAGAGGATCTCGGCAACAACCTGTGCAGCTCTGGTGAACTCCATGGCCAGGGGGATTAAGGCAATGCTAGGAGCAATTTTCGCACACAAAATATTGACACTTTGGAGAGAAATATTAATCACTTAGGGTGTACTCACTTTTGTTGCCAGGTATTTTGACAATAATGGCTTTATGTTGAGTTATTTTCAGAGGACAGTAAATATATACTGCTATACAAGCAGCACAATGACTACTCTAAATCCAAGTTTCATTTCTATAGTATTGTCCCTTGAGAAGATATACTAAAATGTTTGCTGAAATGTGAGGGGTGTACTCACTTTTGTGAGATACTGTATATAGATATATATTCTTCAGTGATTTTACTCTGAATATTTCTGAATTGTATTTTGTGTTTTAATCCTTAATTTGTTGAATAGTACATGATTATCCTGTTCCTGGTGTTTGTAGTTCAGTTTTCAGTGTCTAGTGCGTGTCTGGCTATCAATGAGGACCAGCAGGTAAGATTGATCACTGTACTTCAATATACTGTATTTACTAGCATAAATCCACTTTGGTGGTTTGTAGTCTTTGGAAATGTGCTACAAATATAAATAATTTTGATAGAATTCAAAAATATTCCGCAAGGATGCTTTCAATTGAATAAATTAAAAAGAATAAATGCTTTTATAATGTTACAAAAGATGTCTATTTCAAATAAATGCTGTTCTTTTGAACTTTTTATTCATCAAAGAATTGTAAGGGGTGTACAGTCAAAGACCCAGAACCAGATATGAAGAATGAAGACCCGGAGTCAGAATTATAAAAAAATTAAAGAAAAGTTTTACTGAAGATAGTTTGCATTTTCATCAGCAGAAGTCAGCTTCAAGACTCACACAGGAGTTCGTAGGCCGCCTCCCTTACAGTTACAAAGATCACAGCAGTTATACCATTTCCAAGGTCTAAGCTACGTCATTGCTTACAGGTTGAATGATTCTCATTGGCTAAGAAACATTAAAGCCTAAACAATTTAACACATGTGAGGAGATAGGGGTGCCTATCGCCATTAGTAAAGATAGTTGTCGTCCACTCATTGGATTTAGGCCTGTGGTGGCCTCGCAGGTTAGAGAAGGGCGCCGGGGTGTCTGGTCCGACCGTCCAGAACCTACATAGAATGTCATACACACACACACACAAATAACAGACACTAGCAAATAACAGCTCCCATCAAGGCTGAAGAGAGTCTGAGCTCCTTATTATCAGTTAAGTATACCAAAACATACTGCTAAAACATTCACTCGTTTGGGAGAAAAACAGATCACTGGCATTTACTCCCAAGGAAGGAAATATACTGGACAGAATACATTTTAATACAACAATTCAAGTTTGATAGTAACGCTCAATATAGCTTGACCATATGTCCAGCGAAGAATCATATGTGCCCACGCTGCCTTTAGGACCCTCTAACCTTTCTACTGATCCCAGAGAAAGAGACAAACGGCCTTGTGGGTTCCGTGGCCTTCGTGTCCTGCGTGTACTAAGTGCAATCTCAAAGTAAGATTGGAATGCACCTAAAAGAAACTGGTTACTTGCATCCATGCATTTAAGAAAATATAATTTCACAAGCACAAGAATATAAAAATTATTATGTGATAATGAATATATTTGATTATTGATTTTTATAAAGGAAGTATATAACCATTCAAAATGATATATGATTATATATGTATTTGAAGAGGCAAGGGATTTTGACCAACCCTTCAGTCCCCCGTTTTAGACCAATGTGGGGTCCAATACCGCCACGTCTGGTCTAACCAGTGAGGTCACTACGGAAGGGAGGAGTGGTGACGCATGCTCCCCTGCCGGGTCACACTTGTCTCTTCACCTCGTCATGGACATGCTGGATACTAAAAATTCCAGTCCCCATTAAGAGGCTCTCCCACCTTCCACTCACAACAGGACATCAATGTCATTCTTCCTCAATTTATCAGTCAGGTTAAAATTTTTATAAAACACATAACTGATTACGAAACAAGTACATATTTATTCTCTGGAAGCCAGGCTAAATAAGCAAGCACTATTGCTGTATTCCTAGCATGGGCTAGATCCACAGTCACTACTCAGATCCTAAATAAAGACATTGTCTATAATCATGAATACCAGAATATATGCACTAGTTTTTTTATTTTATTTTATAAAACTATGAGTTCCAAATCCTTTTATTATAAACAAAGTTGGATGGTTAATCCATTATTTTCACTACCCCTTTTATAGACCCTTTAGGTTTAAAACACAATGGTTGTCTAACTAAAAAATAAACAACAAACAATAAAATATTAATAATTAAGACCCATAATAATCGATGTAAGCACTTTAAGTCTTTACTGAAATCATCCTTCAGTTTACAGTCACATAGCATGTACCATTTTAATTGTATAACATCTTATACCCTTTTTTGTTTGTTTCAAAAATAGAAATAAAATAAAACAAATTCACATCATCATTTCAGTCATTATTTTACCACTAAAATATAGGATCGTTCCCCATTCTGCTTAATAAAGCTTTTGTTCATTCCTTATCCTTATATCACTTGAATCCCTGTCAATCATACAATGTCTAACCCTAACCTTTTTCATACCATTTAAACTTAATTTGACTTCCATAAATCCTATCAGAAATTGTATTTTCATTACATACATTTTCTTCTACTATATTTCTTCCATCTTGCCCTACATGCCAGTTCCTTCTGCATCCGAGTCTCTCACCACTGTCAGCCTAGTGACACTTAAAGTTCCCTCGTTAGGGGAATCATGGTATTTTATTAATTCTTCAATACTCTTGTTTTCTTATCATTAACTTCAACTTTATTTTTCATTATAACTACTTCTCACAGTATTTGTCTCAGTTCCACTTATCTTTACAGTTTTACAGAAACCAAAATATTATGTTACTCAGATCCCAGCCCACAGCCATATAGCTGCTTTCTCTTTTTACCTTTATTACATTGTAGTTTTCTTAGACATCTAATGTCATACATACATTCAAGGGATTGAGAAATAAAACCTTTTCTTTTTAGAAGTTAGATTCACTCCTCCTTTATTCGCCCTCCGGCCTTTCAATAAAAATGAGGGAGCTCACTCTGGATAATTTGGATAGTGACTTAGCCAATGTGTCACTTTGTCTCTCTGCCGTCAAGTCTATATATATATATATTTTTTTTCCTACGTTTATCCTTATGATCCCACCTAGTTGTCTATTTAAATTTAGACCCTCAGTTGAATTTAGACAAGAGTTTTACCCCATAATGGACGGCAATCTTCTTTACAATTCCAATTTATATAAAATACTAATCCAGAGAGTAATTCAGTTCAATATCATAAATGACAAAAGCATTCATAATTACCAATAGCAGACAGAGCTGGAAAACCACTCCAATTAAAGCTCGTCCCATGTTCTGCATTGTCTTTTCATCAGATTGTCTTAGAATTATCAACTTTTTTAAAGTTGGTCATTTCACTTAACCCATCTGTAATGATAAAACACTAATTCCAGAGGTTAATGACACAATATCCTCAAAATCAGGAAATAATAGTACCCCAAACTAATACATACAAGACATAAAGTGCTGTCACCATCATACGCACTCATACTAGACACACATATGTTAACTGTTCATTTTCAATGTTCATTTTTCTTTATATTATTGCTAAAAGATTTAAATTTTAAATAAGATTTTAAACTTCCCATTTTCCGGTAGCTTCTACCTAATTTTACATGGTCTCCCAACCAGTTTCAAAGCATGCCTGTTCATTATTCATTAGAATTTAACAAGGTCAGCTGGGTTGTTTTGTTTCATTATCATTATTTTGCTTCAGCTTGCTCTAGCAGGCCAATAATGGAAAGACAGACACAGTTACCATCCCTTCCTCTGCTCAAGCAGTCTCTCTCACTATAAATAAATAATCTTTTTCAACAGCCTTCTAAGGCTGTAACTTAGACATAATGTAATATTAAATTAATTACAATAACCTTTGACCATTCACCTTGTTATCCAGACTTTTCTCAAATCTACAAAAGCTGTCTTCATCTTTAGCCACCACCATGTCTAACGACCTTCAGGAGTTAAAACTATGTCATAGACCTATTAGTTCAAAATCAACACTATGATTTTCCTTGCCCATAAGGCAAACCAGTACATAAAAAGTTTTGCTACTGTCTCCACAACAACTAATGGGAATCACTTCATGGCCTCAGCTGGCTCTTGAAAGCCCACTCCTGTTAGCCCTTTATCTATAATCTCCATCAGGGTGTTTTCCCCTGGCATATTTGCAGACGATAAAAAAAAAACAAGCCATACAATGAATGCGGTTTCTGGTGATTGGTATTAGAGGAACATCACGTTTCGGGGTCAGACTGTCTGTAACTCCTCACAGCTCATCCGCCCTAACGATAAAGGATGCTGCTGGCCTCACAGTCATCCGCTCCACTCTCATACCTTTCTCACATAAACACCTCCATCTTGAGATGCCCAGTGACTTTACGTGATCCACTCTGGCTTAGGTTGCCCCCTGTCTGGCCATTAGAAGGTCTTACCCGTCATTGAGTAGCCACTCGTGCCCACTGGTGACCGCTCTTTCCCATCACAGGCTGTTTGCTTCAACAGAACTCAGCTGTTTTCTAGAGCTTAGGAAAGGCACGTTCAAGAGTCACCAGAGCCATTCGGATTGCCTAATAGTGTTCACATAGGGAGACAGGTCAGAACAACAGTATTTAATCACTTAAATCCATTAACTATCTTAAAAGCAGCAACCTAGCTACTTGGATTATACTCAGTGAATTTTAGATCACAACCGTACATTCAGTGTACTTTTCCGTCGGCCCCTCCCCCGTTTCATGGTGGGGACTAAGATCAGACAAAGAAGTTACGGGTCCTAAAATAACCTAATCAAAGATGTCACTACAAATAGCTTATTATCACTTATGACACCGACTCAGGTAACAGCTTTTAGCTGACATTGACTGAGAGAGAGACATTGAATGAGGGAGGGACTGGTACACTGCACTCTGAACGTCTAACTTATCTACCATCTTTTAACTCTATCCCAGCTTAAGGCATCTTTGCCAGATATTACATACGGTTTCAAATAAACATATTATTTATATTTGTCTTTTGCCCACACATCAGGAAATTTAGGCATTACAAATTTCCACTCAGATTGAGTCTGTTGCACTGGCAGTTTCAGCCACAGCACACATCAGATTCAGATAAGCAAACTGTTTCATTACAGCCAATAACAAACTTATCTTTTGAAAACTAAACATCAGCGTCTAGTTCTTTCATGGTCAACTTTTCAAGCTGTTTGTTTAATCAGCATTTAGCAACTGTTAATTCAGTACGGCTTCTGCTTATTTGTTTTACATAAAAATAATTATTCTAGTTCTCAATAACGTTTCACATTTCTCAATCTCAATTTTAATTGTCAAGTTCTCAACCATAGTTTAATATTTGACTTCAGTTTTCTCTTGGAGTTTATCAATCTCCAATTAGGATTCACACTAAGTTTGACGAGGCAAGCACTCTCTGCTTGTGATACTTTTGCAGTTATTGTAAATCATCTGTGAGATTAGTCTCTCTATATCATCTAAAACCTTTTTAAAATGTTTAATTACAACACAATCATCCTTTAAGTTACTTTGATATATTTTGCAACTCACATTTGTTGGAGTCATTAATTTTACATCAACCTGTATTCATCAATTCACTAAAAATTAGTATTATAGATCTTTTCTTCAAAAGGATTCACTTTAAGACTTCAATCTTTTGACCTTGTTTTATCTCTTGTTCTTTCTCAGACGACAACTTTAATATCGTCATTTAAACACTGATCTACTTTCAAACTCACATTATTACCAGAAATGTGTTGTCATTTTATCACATTTTTAAACACCTTCTCGGTGGGAATTTAGAGTTACGTATTAAATGGTCCTGATGACCACCATTAAAACACTCTCTGTCATCTGGTGGGTTCATGTGTCAGCCTCAACGGCTCCAACTTACTGCACGCCCTTGAAGCAGTGTGTCCCATTCAGGAATGCAAACAGAGCTACTGATTAAGCAGTTCTCTGTATTCTTTTACAGTCCACCAGTGGCTGATTTAATCATAATAACCCAATCATAATCTTCATCATTATTATTGGCAGAACATTAATTTTCATAAGCTGCAAAATATTGTTTTCACAAAGTGTCTGTTTAACTTTAGTCGCTTGTCGAGGGAAATTATCCCTGACCCAGAATTTCTTTCACTTGCTTCTTGTAATCATCGTAAGCAATACGAGGCTAAACATTTTAATTTTTCAGTTTCTTTGTTTGTTTGTAGCCAGTCAAGTTTTTTTTTTAAATTTCCAATCAGAATCAAAATCCTGACTACCATTTACTTAATCATTTCTGCTAATTTCTTTGAAGTGAGGGCTTTAGAGCACAGCTGCTTACAGCGTTTGCTTTTCCTGACTCACTATTTGTTTCAGGACTCTTCAGGTTACTGATTAAGTTATTACATTTTTCTGCCATATCTTAATCATGGTTCATACTCACCTAAAGTTATTGCAGAAATGGAGGCGGCGATCTTTGAACAACACAGCTTGGCTTCTGCGTGATGAAACTGCAAAGTATACTCCAAAATCACAGTTACATATACTGGTCCATGCCAATTTGGGTCACAACTTTTTAAATTTTTCTCTCGGAATTGTTCCTGATGCATCCCTGGCAAACAACCCTATTATTGTTAGTATCCCTAACTGCCTGATTCACTTCACTAAGTTCGGGGATCCCCTATCTGAGATGGAAGAGATTGAGCAGGTTTACGGTGCCACTGGACCTCTAGCCCAGGGACGTGCTCTGCTGGGTGGTGCTACACCAGTAATGCCCAGCGGGGCCCCCACAGAGCACGCTTCGCTTGCGCTGTCTGCTGCCGTTACCCTTAACGACGCTCTCAGCGACTTCTTATACTGTCAGCAGTATAATTAACTTACTCCTTCACTCGCCTCATCGGAGTGAAGCTTCACTCGCCTCATCGGAGTGAAGCTCTCCCGCTCTCCTTCAAAATCTCTTCCAGTCAGACAGCCCTAACAATTAACAAAAGCTTACTACCTTGTTTGTTGATTTGCCAGGGGTGTCACCGAGAATAATTGCCCGCATTCTCCACCATAACTGTAAGGGGTGTACAGTCAAAGACCCAGAACCAGATATGAAGAATGAAGACCCGGAGTCAGAATTATAAAAAAATTAAAGAAAAGTTTTACTGAAGATAGTTTGCATTTTCATCAGCAGAAGTCAGCTTCAAGACTCACACAGGAGTTCGTAGGCCGCCTCCCTTACAGTTACAAAGATCACAGCAGTTATACCATTTCCAAGGTCTAAGCTACGTCATTGCTTACAGGTTGAATGATTCTCATTGGCTAAGAAACATTAAAGCCTAAACAATTTAACACATGTGAGGAGATAGGGGTGCCTATCGCCATTAGTAAAGATAGTTGTCGTCCACTCATTGGATTTAGGCCTGTGGTGGCCTCGCAGGTTAGAGAAGGGCGCCGGGGTGTCTGGTCCGACCGTCCAGAACCTACATAGAATGTCATACACACACACACACAAATAACAGACACTAGCAAATAACAGCTCCCATCAAGGCTGAAGAGAGTCTGAGCTCCTTATTATCAGTTAAGTATACCAAAACATACTGCTAAAACATTCACTCGTTTGGGAGAAAAACAGATCACTGGCATTTACTCCCAAGGAAGGAAATATACTGGACAGAATACATTTTAATACAACAATTCAAGTTTGATAGTAACGCTCAATATAGCTTGACCATATGTCCAGCGAAGAATCATATGTGCCCACGCTGCCTTTAGGACCCTCTAACCTTTCTACTGATCCCAGAGAAAGAGACAAACGGCCTTGTGGGTTCCGTGGCCTTCGTGTCCTGCGTGTACTAAGTGCAATCTCAAAGTAAGATTGGAATGCACCTAAAAGAAACTGGTTACTTGCATCCATGCATTTAAGAAAATATAATTTCACAAGCACAAGAATATAAAAATTATTATGTGATAATGAATATATTTGATTATTGATTTTTATAAAGGAAGTATATAACCATTCAAAATGATATATGATTATATATGTATTTGAAGAGGCAAGGGATTTTGACCAACCCTTCAGAATCCTGAAATATTAACTGTTTTCAACATGGATGATAATAATCATAAATGTTTCTTGAGCAGCAAATCAGCATATTAGAATGATTTCTGAAGGATCATGTGACATTAAAGACTGGAGTAAAATTCAGCTTTGCCATAGCTGGAATAAATGACATTTTTATATATTTTATGTTATCTATTTTAACATATTTAAATAGAAAACAGTTCTTTAAAATGGTAAATGCAACATTGGTGAGCATAAGAGACTTCTTTAAAAAAAAACATTTGGTGCTCAAAATATTGGGTCTAAAATGACTAAAATTAACCCCAACCCCAAACTTTGATGCATGTAAATGGGTGTCTTTTTATTTGTTTACCTATTAGTATTATTGTTTGTTCGATTTTGTGTTTTCTCATAAGTTGTCATGTGTTTCGTACCTGTGTGTAGAATCACCTTCTGGAGGTGGGCTGGAATAACTCTCTGACCACTCAGAGGGACGTGGAGAAGAGTCTGAACTGCTGCGGTTTCTCTCACATGGACATCAATGGAAGCTGTGCCGCAGTAACTTCCTCTGATACACACTCTTCTTTGTTGTTTTGTTATGTTCTTGAAGCATTGCTTGTGCTGAACGATATAAATGACACCTGTGTGGGTGATAATGACTGTCTTAATCATTTGCATGCTTATTATGATCGCATAAGTTGGGCAGTTGCATTATTTTTTCTATTATAGTAATTCTGTTTCACTTTATTTTGATGGTCCCTTTTAACACATTCTGTTGACTAGAAGTAATGTTACACCTACATGTCTACTAACTCTCATTAGAGTGTTAGTAGAGTATTAGTAGACTGGTTGGTTTAGGGTTAGAATAAGTTAACATGTATTTGGAAAGTTACTTATAGTCAGTAGCATATCTTTTGGGGGAGCATCACAATAAAGAGTTAGCAGATATTGAGCAGACAGTCTACTGATACTCTAATGAGAGTTAGTTGGCATGCGTTGCAAAATTACTTATAGACAACAGAATGTTCAAAAGGGACCATCAAAATAAAGCGTTATCAATAACTCACTGCTCTTGTCAATGTCTGTTCTGCTTCTGTGCAGCCCTGCTTCCATTACAGCACTTGCACCACATGTGCAGCAAAGATCCAGGAGCACGCCGGCGAGGTGCTGCGCTTCGTCGGAGGGATCGGTCTCTTCTTCAGCTTCACTGAGGTCAGCCTGCTAAACTAACTTCTGCTTTGATCTCCTCTTTGAAATTCTTCACTGAATTTGACAACCAGAATGTTTTCTGGTGTTCTTGATCATTCTTTAGTGTATAATGTTGCTGTTTAAGCATGAAAAGGGTCTGCAAAGCTACAAAGCACAAAGTCCACTCCAAAGGGAGTTATTCTCTATATCAGTAAGCTGTTACTGAACTCCCTGAAACGCCACGATTGTAGTCTTGGGGGAAGAAACTCTTTTCTACAGGGAACGTACATAATATTCCTCATTTATATCAATCCCACCCAAGACATATGCAAAATTAAGGGTTGAGTTCCATTGGAAGTGTATTGAAACTAGCAGTTATGGTAAGGTCCGTGACATTTGCAAAACACGCTCGAAGCGGTTGACCAATCACAACACAACCGACCCATCAGAGCACCCCAACTTTTCTGAAGGAGGGGCTTCATATGGAGACGGGAACTAATCAGGGGTGCGTTTCCCAAAACCATAGTTGCTAACTAAGTTAGCAACTTTGTTGGTTGCAATGCAATTTCCCATTACCAACCAAGTTGCTAACAGGTTATCAACTATGGTTTTGGGAAACGCACCCCAGAGCGTTACAGACAGACTGGAAGGGGAGCTGCTGCAACAATATAAAAATAATGTTGTTGTTTTTTATTCTAATTGTATAGAATACCGCAAAAACAAAATTAAGACTTAAAAAAATAGCCTATAGAGGGCGCAACAGGATAAGAAATCTTTTAAATCCACTCTTGCGCTACATTTCCAACAGTTAAAATGACGAATAAATGCATACTCCAAGAGCGCTCCACAAGATATGTTTGATTATACCATGTGGATGCTCAAAATTGATCGGGAGAATGCACGTTTTGAGCAACTTATTGTACACGTAAGGTAATCACCAAAACTAGTGCGTTGCTGCACTGTAACACACATACTGACAGTAGCTCGCACATCACGCACACAGAAACATTTAGTAGCGCAGAAATGTATTGTCAACACTTCTGTGATTTATCAATAAATCTGAAAAGTTCTAGCATATATTTCTTAGTAACTAAACTTACAGCTTCACTATTAGTAGAGAGATTCTGCCTGGTAGAATTAATTCACACGCAATCTCTCTCTCACTAATATGCATTCATGTAAATGTAATCTTTACTGTGCTACATTATCTCTATCTGATTTAGAACGAGCAGAAATCTGTGAGAAATATAACAACCCAAAAACAAAAGAACTGATAAAAATAAGCTGTTATGTTGGAGCAATAGTCTTGTGGGCAGCGCCGTGTCATATGATATAGCTGTGCACAAGGCAACCCGCGTTCGAGTCTCAGCTCGAGGTTCAGGCTTATTTGTTCATTAATTACGTCATCAGCATCAGACTTTAATCACATAAATGTTGACTTAAACAATCTGAAGACGTTCAACCCCTAATTGTTACAGAAAATACAGATTGTAAAAATTGTACAGAAAACAGGTTCATTGGTTAACTGCAAGTTAACTCACCGTATTCAGTGAATACATTTTTTTAACATTGCCTTGCATTGCAATTTTACTGTAAAATACTGTAAAATGTATGGTTTTTGGAAATAAAAATAATTACAAAATGACAAAATAATTTACACGTAAAATCTATATAATTTTAAAAAAGAACATGTTGGCCTATTTTTAAAGTAAATTATTGTAAAAAATAATATATTATTGTATGATTATGGTGGTTATCAGTACATTTTAGTTTATAAAGTAGTATTTTAACATTTTATCACTTAAAGGAATAGTTCACTTAAAAATAATTTACTCACTCAACCTGTATTAATTTCTTTCTTCGGCTGAACACAAAAGAAGATATTTTGAAGAATGTCAGTAACCAGACAGTTGATGGGCCCCATTGACTTCCATAGTATTTTTTTATTTTTTTTCTGTTCAGCAGAAGAATGAAATTCATACAGGTTTGAAACAACTTGAGGGTGAGTAAATGATGACAGAATTTTCATTTTTAAGTGAACTATTCCTTTAATGAAATATACTAGTAAAAAAAATATATACAGTTACCAATGTGCCATCCCATAACACCTGAACACTGTCACTGTATTTTTTACAGAACATTTCTAGCAACCACAGCTCCCAGTTTTTTACTGTATATTCAACAGAACATTTACAGTGTGTTTGTTTTTCCTCCCATCAATCTGGTTATTTCAGATTCTGGGTGTTTGGCTGACTTATAGGTACAGAAACCAAAAGGACCCACGGGCGAATCCAAGCGCCTTCCTGTAGATTCGAATCGTATTATGTCGTCTGACCACTGGAATTCTCAATCGAGCTGTTAAAGAGAGTGTGTGTGTTTGCTTTTACTGAAGAGGAGACCAGCCTGCGTGTTCTTGCTGCTATATATTATTATGTGCTTGATTTTTCAAGAGTACAGTGTGAATGTACTGTACATCATGAGACTGTACTTATAAGAATTCCTCTCTATGAAAGAATAGAACACCAAATACTAGTATGCAGTACTTACACTAATGGGCTAAACAACAAAGACCATTTGATTTTATGTTATCAGTTTTATCTTATGTGGTAAAACACTTTAACAGAAAATGAGCTGCTGTGATCAAGACGTGCAGTGTGAGCATGACACTATTTATGTTGTTTATATATAAATATTGAATTTGACAATATCAGAATGTATCCATTTCAATTCCACATTGATTTCTGATAATAAATGCACACATTTACAATTAGCATGGATGACAGTAAAAGTTGCTCGGAAACTGTTAGTATGCTAGATACATTATTTGGACTTCATAATTAGTATGAAAAATTTAAAGAACTCAATTACATATAAAGATTAATGGATGAATGTTTTTTTTGAGCACTGTTTAATGATCTCGGATTTCTTATTACATATTTATCTGCCTATTTTCGTTATATGTGTGTGTGTTAGTTTCACTGACTTGATTGTGTGTATTGTTTTTGCTTCTTGCATGAATTCCTCATTGAAATGTACATCTATATCCAACAATGGTTCTGTGAACTGCTCTCTCAAGCATTTGAAATAAAAAAAAATAAAGACTCTGTGGACACAATTGCACTTTGGCCAATTTTGTCTTTTGTATTACTTAATTGTTGGGTTATGCCTAATGCTTTTATTGTCTGAAATCCCATTACATTATTTCAGGAGAGAAACTTCCTCTAACCTAAACCAATCAGAAACTGACACGCTCGGGCCAAGACCTCAGCTAGTAACTAGGCAACAATATGACTTAGGAAAACACGCGTCCAGTGCAGTGCCAGTTAGTTGCTCTGACTCCTCCCACCAGGATACAAACCGGAGACTCCGTTAACTGGAAAACTACATGGCCTCTGCTTTGAATAAACTGTGCAAACGTCGCTGCGTACACAAATTACTACGAGCACCAACTTTTTGTACCACTTCATTTATTGAAAAAAGCAAACATGGGAATGAAAGCCTGACGGTTAACCGTAACAGAATATTTTCAAAGAAAGTATTTCAAATTTGTACAGAGCTTTACAGTGCGGATGTCAATGAACAAATGACAGAATAATAGTGACCCTCAGGGAAGTAATATCCTCTCGGCGGACAAAAAGACTAGACTTTTGTGTTCACAACTCTGTCTTCAAAAACTTCAGGGCCCGTTGCATGTTGCTTAACACTGTGGAAACAAAACCAAACAAGCGGTACTGTCAGTATGATGATGATAATGATGTTTAATAACTTATCTTGGCATTAAAATTGCTTTCAGACTTACAGAGTTTCATGTCAGCCGGCTCATAGGCGTACATGCGGTTGGAATAGCGGCCTGTGATGTCTGCCCGAACGGTCATGGAGGGATCTGGAAAACAGGAAAGATTTGAATAATGTATGCAGACTAATGTGTACACTGTAAAAAAAAAAAAATTAAATGACATGACCAGTGAGTTAGCCTATAACAAAATATATATTTTTACATTACTTTAACTCATCAAAATAAGTTGAGCAGTTCTCAACTTGTTTTGTAAGTTATAGCTAACGTTACAATATTCAACTAATTTTTTAAGTCAGTTTAAAGCAATTTAAGTTGAAATTACTTAAATATCCAAGTTAATTATACTTAAAAATGTAAGGCAGTAAAAAAAAAACGTTTACAGTGTAGCATCATTTATCTGTCTGTCGTAATTAAATCAACTCACCAACAAAGAGGATTCTGGGAACATACTGTCCATCAGGAGACAAGTGCTTATCTGTGGTCTCATACTGTAAAAGACATAAATCCCAGTTCAATTAACAGACATGCACAACACATACAGACCAGGACCTTAAAACACTTTAATGCTGTTAATGTATTAACAATGAGCAATCCATTTGTTACAGGATATATTCATTTTTGTTAACTGATGTTAATAACAATACAACCATCCCTTGTTAGTTCATGTTAGCTCAGGTCCATTAAATAGCAAATTAACAGATACAACTTTTGATTTTAATAATGTGTTAGTAAATAAGCATTCATTAAGATTAATAATGCTTTAGACAAATTTTTCATTGTTAGTTAACTAATGTTAACAAATGTAAGGTGTTAGTGATTTTACTCACCACCAGATTCAAGACCACGAATTCCTCATCGACCAACTTCTGGATGTCTTTATCCTCAGCAAAGGCCTTCTTAAGAGCTAATTAAATACAAACATGAAGAACAAACTAAGAATTTTAAACTACCAGTCAATGAAAATGTCAAAATAAAAGTCAAGCTTACACTGGCTGTGTGGACAGTCCTCCAGGTGAAAGATGACCATGAGGGGCTTGTTCCTAATTAAACAGATAATACAAGTTGTACAACATATTAAAAAAAAAGATCATATAAAATCAATTTATAAAAGTAACACTTTATTTTGCAGTGTCCTCGTTACACATTACATGTAATTTCTATAGTAACAACAACTACAGTATGCATAATTACATGCAACTGACCCAAACCCATGTTTTAATTCATAATACTCAGTACTTAAATGTATAATTAGCCTATTACACTTAAAATAAAGTGTACCCAAAAACAATAAATCATACCAAAAATCATCAGCAGATCTTCTATACACACAAAATTACTGATTATTGAATATACTCTATAATTCTATATAATACAAGCTTTTCTCACTTGGATCGTGACCAAAACAGAGCTTCCTCGTACGTCTGTGCCCAAATCAACTGATCACCCCATCCTGAAAAGAAAACAAAACACAATATGAATCATAAAAAACAAAATCTACTAAGCCAATGTGGATGACTGCTATCTACATCCCATTCAAAATCAATATTACACAAAGCGAGGTCTGGGGTTGAATTTCACACAATAAAGAACTCGAATATTTCTAAAAGTAATCTCGATGAAAATGATCCTATACTACTTTCTTCGTATAGTTCATTATGTAACTTGAGTTTTGCTAGTATAACAGATCACGACAGCACACCCGCTTAGCCAGTATTATGCAAAATTGCTGAAAAGAATGTGTCGAGATGTTTTCATGAAGCCGACCTCTGGAGAGAGTCTGAGGAATCCTCTTCTCCTTCTTCGGAGTGGTCTTCTCGGGCTTCCCCATGGCAGAGGACAAGGCCACCAGGACCAAGAGCACTGATAGTAATCCTTTAAGCATCTTCACGAGCTGAAAAAGAACAAAGCATTTCAATATATAGCTGTTAGGAAATGACAAAGCATGATTTTAACATCCAGTCCCAGCAGCTGCGTGCTAGAAAGCGATCTTTAGCAAAGCCTTCTGGAAAATATACAAGCACAATGTCCCTTTAATGACGGTTCCTCACCTGTTCTCAGGTTCCCTGCTGTGTGTGTGTGTGTGTTCCGGCTCAGACTCCTGGTCCTGCTGTTTCCACCCTCTCTCACCTGTTCGACACTTATACACCTGCTCACCTGAAGCTCCGCCCACCCCTCTCCTGCTCTGGAATGCGATTCTGCACTTGATGCTGTTCAGCCCCATTTTGCATGCCAACTTTCCATTAACTTTTTTATTTGGCTCGGCGCCAAGGACAGATCAGCAGATAGTTGTGAATAAGCTTTCGAAGACTATATGATTGGGCTTCTTAGGATTGGCTGAGCTCTGATCTGTGATGTCAGAGGGGTACATTAATGGGGTTTCGTAATTTGAGGCATGACGTGGTGTTAGAATGAGAAACCTATGTTATGCATTTATATCTTAATTAATGGCCCATTTTGTGAATCGACAAATTTTATTGAGCTAATTATTATTGAACGGTTTGTAGGAAATCTATTTGTATGTAGAAACATTTGGACATTATAACTGGTGCATTATAATTAATCTGATATCTGTAATATAATAGGGTGTGTGTATACAGGATTTTAATAGTCTTTATACAAAGTCTAGTTTGGCGGTGAAATCTACCCCTCAAACATTTGCTTAATGAAACGCTCAAAAGGAAGTTTCTTGAATACAGTCCTTCTACTGACGTGTCCTTAAGACGGCTGATTATGAGGAAGACTTTTGGTGTAACCTTTGTGTAACCTTTTATTATTATTATTTTAAAATATTCCGTTTATTTTCATTCATTTTCAAAATAGTGCATTGTTTATACATTTATTATTATTTATTTAATAATATTTTTTTTTATTTTCTTTGCCTTTATTCTTTTCTTTTATTGAGCTAAAATGGACATTTTTTTATATGCGTGTCTTTAAAGGGATAGTTCACCCAAAAATCTAAATTTGCTGTTAATTTACTGTCCTTCAGGCCATCCAAGATGTAGGTTTTCTAAAGAAATTCTTCAATTGAACAGTATGGCGATTTTTAGCTGAAACTGTCAGGAGCCATGCATGGGTATTATTTTTGGTTTGCCTGTAATGTGTTTTTTTTTTTACTCTCAAAGTGACAGTAGCTATTGACTTGCACTATATAAATCACCAAGGTAAACCTCTTCTTACTGTTCAACTGAAGAAAAAGGGTCACCTACACCTTGAATGGCCTGAGGGTGAGTAAAGTAACAGCAAATTTTCATTTTTGAGACTCATGATTCTATGTGAGAAAGACATTTGGTGTAACTTTTTTTCTGTGTAACCTTTTATTATTATATTCATTTTCAATCATATTAATGTATTATTTATATATGTATATTAAATATTTCATTTCATTTATTTAATTTAATTGTACTTTTTTGCTTTGTAATTTTTTTTTAATTATTTTATCTATTTCTTTATCATTATTATTTTATTTTGTTTTATTTTATTAATTACATTACATTACAGTCAAACCATCACCATTGACATTTTGTTTGATCATTTGGAAATGATACTGTTAACTGTATAACATGTCAGTTGCAGGCGTTATTGCGTAACATCCTCTGTTGAGTTGCTCAAATGTTGAATGTTCACATTTCCGGAGCAAGTCATAGCATCAGTGCTGGTGAGCTGGAGAGCTGAATGCCTTGCTAATTTCATCTTCTCTGAAAAATGACTCCTCTGAAAATAATGTTGTAATTCAGGCCTGACAAAGTCCCTTTCCACTAGCAGCTCTGGGATAATGTGACCAGTGGAGGATCAATGGTGTCTTTGTGCAGAGTGGACTCAATTCAAGGCCTCTACGACAACCAACACCACTCAGACTGAATGAATCAAGTCTTTTTATGACTTCACTCTCTGTGTCCTTCAGGTGGACATTTCTCCGTCACTATATTTCTGCCATTGTGCTGAAAATGACAGGTTTGACTTACTCAGACACACTAAAGATGTATCACACAAACAAGGCATGCAGGAGACTAAAGCAGAGGATGTGCTCTACATTTAAGACCATTTTTACTCATTAAAGTGAGTTTAACCTTCATAAAATGTTGTTTATGATAATCATTAATTATTAAAATATTATAATAATATAATAATGAAATAAGATAGAATATAATATAACTTTAAATTATATAATTCACTTATAATATGGTATTTTTATATATAATATAATAATATTAAATATAATAATATTTTAATAATTTAATAAGTAATAATCTGTATGATTTTTTGAAAGAAGTCTCTTATGCTCACCAAGGCTACATCTATTTGATCGAAAATACAGTAAAACTGTGAAATATTGTTACAATTTTAAGTTTTCTATTAAAATATATTTTATTATTCCTGTGATAGTAAACTTGAATTTTCAGCATCATTACTTCATTGTTCTAACAATGAAACCATTCTTATATGCTGATTTCTTTGTTATTATCAATGTTAAAAAACAGTTGTGCTGCTTAATATATATATATATTTTGTGGTAACCGTAATAAAACTAATTCAGGATTCTTTGTTGAATAGATTTCAAAAGAACAGCATTTACTTGAAATAGAAATATTTTGTTGCAATGTAAAAGTCTTTACTGTCTTCACAATTTAATGACTCCTTGTTGATAAATAAAAAAACAACTGAACAGCAGTGTGCATGTTCACATTTATTTGCAAATATAGCAATTCTATTACCAAGATTTGTGACTTGTCTGAATACAGCTTAAAACATATTTGTTTGATTTAGTTATATTTTCTGGCAATAAACATTATATCTATATATATATATTAATCGAAAGCATTCTAGTATCATGCTCACAAGACAAATGGATAAATGTTTTTTTTACAATTTTCCTGTACGTTCCAGAGAAAACACAATGTTTGTGAAAGTGACAGGATGAATGAATTGCTGAGGTGTCCTTAACTGTAATTTAGATTTCCTCCACTTTGCATGCGGGCAGAAATTCTATGAACCTCAAGTCAATATTTGCCCTTGAGGGCTGGGTGCACAGGCCACTCCTTGTCATACACACTTCAGCGGCCATCTGCACCCGATCCCGCCCTGAGAACACGGATCTGTCAGCCAGGAAGGCAAACGCACTGTTCCGACTGTTAGTGATTGGACTGGATTGCCATAAATGGGGGAGGAGAAATTCAGTGCAATTGTCTAGTATTCTGCCGTAACCCTGTTTGAGATGCACAAACAATGAAGCATTTAGAGGTTAAAAAAGCAAACCGGAACTGAGTGAGAGTGGTGATTATATATGCATACGGTCTAATGCGAGTCGGCAGACTGAAAACAAAAAAAGTTAATTTCAGAAAGAACTGCACATTCTGGTGAATTCTTTTTAACGTTTATTAATTTACATGTAGAAAAAAATCGTACATTTCTGAATGTGCCTTTTATTGTTTATGCGGCGCTCTGACACATAGACATCTTTCAAATAATAATAGAAAAAAAAAAGAAGAAAAAAAATCATCAGACTTGTATCAAAATAAAAGCATGGGAAAATAAGTGAATCAAACCAAAAAAGAAAAAAGAAAAATCGAGTCCCACAAGAGACAATGGCCACTGTTTTCACAGAAAACACCTGAATACGTTTGGCCTTGATAGTGGTTTGTAGCCCAGGTTTAGGCTCAGTTGAACACTGATAGAGCAGGACAGACCCACATGAGCCCGAGCTGGACTGAGGGTCTGACAGCATGAGAACATCAACGCACACAGCAAATCAAATGAGAGCATCAACATCAAGTAGGAAATAAATCACAACTAATTCTCCTGATTGTCACACTACAAAGAACAAATGGGTGAGATTTCTTTAGCAGGCTAGGATCACTTTTCAATCACAAGGTATCAATTCAAGTATGCAAAGGGACTTCGAAAACGTTGTATTTTGTGCCCAGGCGCAAAAGGTAATTGTTCTAAATGGTATTATTAACCCCTCGATATTTCCAATTCGGGCATACAGTGAACATAATGCCAATTCATAAATACAATTCAGTGCTACAATATATAGACGAATATCGGTCGGGTGTTTTTTTGGAACTGAAAAGCATTGAAAAAAGAAGGACCAGGTGTGAAAATGACTTGAGGCTCTTTCCATGCCAGCTGACTGAAAATCAGCCCATTTTAAAGCATGTGCACATTTCATAGAAGGATAGTTTCTCCGTCTTCTATAGAAACCTGAAAATAAAACATCAAACAAGACGCCGTCTTCTGGCAGCTTCCGACGGTCTGAATTCAACCAGAAGAATCTTAAAATAAAATTTCTGTGCTCTTATAACTTCTGAAAGTGTCAATTTCATTACGCAAATCCTAGTTGCACTAATATCTGATGTGCAAATTATAGTTTGGAAAATTGCACTTTCAGTATCTTGGGGTTTTGGGCACCAGAAGAAGCTGAAGTAACCACTGGGTGAAGACGATTCCTAGTGGTTACAGAGCAATGTAGTACAATCTTTAGCAGTCAGGTCAGTGATACACAAAATCACAATAAAAAATATACATATGAATCACCATCTCCAGGAATGAGTATTTACATGTAGGCCCCAAAGTCAAGTAATGGGTTTAGTCACTGTCTGACTCTTCATAGAGGATCTCAGATCTTCTCCCAGCTTTCCAGATCAGGGAAAGTGGTGTAGAATCAAGAAGAAACTGTTTGTGTTCAGATCCCGATGAAGCAACTGTACAGGCGGAGGAAGCAGATGGGATTGTGCTGTCACAGACGCAAACATCCCCCTCCACATCATACTGTTTCTGCGAGTCAGGTTCAGTCCCTGTACACGAGGCTCATTATGAGTCCTGCTGCCCACTAGTGGCAAGTTCAAGGAGTTGCAGCTTTTCAGTGTGTTAGTGTCCGTGCTGGGGAGGAAGAGGTGGTCCATTCACACCGGGGTGGTAAAACGCACAATTATTTTCATACCGACAGTTTCCTTTCATCATGAAATGGCGACAAACTGGCCTCTTTGACATGTCTGTAATGAAAGAAACAGTTTGACGTTACTTACAAACTCATTTTAAATTTGGGAAAATGAATGCTTTCGGTGTTCAAACTTACCGCCCATGCTGTTATGTCCTCCACGTGGTCCTCCGCGTCCCCCTCGTCCTCTGAATCCCGGATCTCCTCCTCTCCCTCGTCCCCGGTGAAAGTGACCTCCTCGGTGTGGGCCTCCTCTCATGGAGTCATCGCCCCAGTAATTGCCGTTGTCTGCCCCACGGCCCTGTGGACCGGGTGGGGGACCCATCATGCGCGGGCCGCCAGGGTTGAAGGGTGGTGGGCCATGGCCGTGTGGAGGAGGAGGTGGAGGATGGTTGAAATGTGGTCCAGGAGGCTTGTTGGGAGGGAAACCACCATTCATGGGCATCTGCATGTTGTTCATGTTGTTCATGTTCATGCCGGGGCCATGACCAAGCAGACCGGTGTTCACTACGAATTGAGAGAAACAGAACATTAAGCATGTTGTTTAACCATCATGCAATTTTTCCTCAACATAGCAGTGTTGTTATGGTTAACTAAAACATTTGAAGGTTTTTGTTAATTGAAATAAAGCAGTATAAAAAATTTAAGTATAAAAAAATATATATAAATATTAAATTAAAAAAAAACACCCAATGAAATAGAAATGTTGAAAGTAAAAAAAAAAAAAAAAAATGTATAAAATAAAAGCTAAACTAAAACAAAGGTGTATGTCAATTGAGATAAAATAAAATACAAGAAATAAATAAAGATACATTTACTAAAGCTGAAATACAAATAAATTAAAGCTATATAAAAAAATATATACACAAACGTTTTCAAATTACTTAAAACTAAAATAAAAATATAGCTTTAAGTTTTAAATGTTTAAAAAATAATAATAATAATAAAATAAAAATCACAAAAGCACATAAAATTACTAAAACAAACCAAATTTAAATTAAAACTTGATCATATAAAAATAAAAGCCTATTCAAAATTTGAATTAATATATAAATAAACTAAAACAAAACTGTCACATCGTTGAAAGAGAGCAAACACGTACTTGGTGGAGCATTTGGAGGCGGGTTCTGATTCTGGTTCTGTTGCAGAGAGCCCAAAAGCTGCTTGATCTTGTCAGAGAAATCAGGCTGTTTGATCAGGTCCTCTGGAGATTGGTTAGATCCCTGAGCACCCTGAAAACAAGCAGAGACGCTTAAAAAACAAAGCCTTTGCACATTCTCATGGTAAATAAAATGTAGATGTGTGTTTTGTCTTACCATAATAGATGAGAGCAGTTCCTGGACATTAACAGCGGGGTTATTGTTGGCTGGTGGGGCGCTGCCTTGCGCCTGAGGGCTGCGGCCGCTGTTGCCCAGGCTGCCCATGAGGTTGGCTAGAACAGGAGGAAGCTTGGAGCCTTCATTAGGGCCAGAAGAGCCACCAGAGAGAGCAGTGTCAACGGGCTCCATGTAATTTTCCTCCGTCATACTGCTGTCCTACAACACCACAGATTGAGAAAGAGGTCAAATCCCATACCACATCTGATACTTCGAAAATAAAGGAAAAATGGAAGGGGAAAGCATGTAAAAAGGTCATTGGCTGTCTTACCTCATCCAATGGGATGAGACGAGGCGGCATGGGCTCATACGGCTCAGGGTCTGGTTCATGAGGACTGTCTGGAACACTGCAGAGAGAGGAATATCCATTTAAAGTTCAACAATTATGTTTTTAAAGACAACAAAATTATCAATGAATTCCCCATTTACTTCATAAACGTGGACGATTCCTTTGTGCCAGGATATATTAGAAAGTTATTTGTAAAGTTAAATAAAGTTGTTATTGTTAACTAAAACTATTAAACACATTTTTGTTAAATTAAAATAAAGCTGAAATAAAATAAAATATAAATATTAGCTGAAAACCTAAAATTAATATTAAAACAATGAATAGAAGTGTTGCTTTAGAAACTAAATGAAATAAGTTTGAGTTGAGTTGAAGGCAGCACTAACTGGAAACAAAAACTGAAAAAATAAATTAAACCTAAATAGTAGCCTAATATTAAAAAAGAACAAATTAATAAAAATGACAATAGCATTTCATTTCTGAATATTAAACAAAAATTTAAATGAAAACTGAAAATATATTAAATAAAAGCTAAATTAAAATTAATAAAAAACTATAATAGTATATTATAAGTAATACTAAAACAACACATATTTTTGCATGTTATTGCATAAGCAGTAAATAATATCAAGTCCCACTTTTAACAATCCCAAAAATTCCAGATGGATTCCCAGCCTACATTATGTGGGTCTATATACGCCACATTATGTGCATTAAATGTTCAATGATCATGAAACAACATTCGCAACACAATCACTAAACATGACACACTACAAGAGAAACGGCATCAAAGTGTTGTCTTACCTCTCCTTGCTGAGGAAGATCTCCTGCAGAATGCCCATCTCTCGGTCTCTCTGAATCATCTTCTCTTTGCTGCTGGCACCTGCAATGACCAGGCAGCCTATAAGGGTCAAGGGTCGCGGTGGAGTCCAGGGCACCCTCTCCTCCATGGTGTCGTGAGAAATACGACGAGCCATTTCAAACGTATGCCTGTCCATCATCAGCTCCCGTTTAGCAGCCTCACCGAAGTCCTTAATTTTATTGACGTTCACTGAGGTAGAGGGATAAAGAGTGATGATTACTAGTGAACAAATCCCACAAAAATTTTGTGTGTGATAAAATACAACATACACAACTGTTCAAATGTTTGGGGTCAGTAAGATTTATAAAAAGAAAAAAAGAAAAGAAAAAAAAAAGACATTTATACATATTTCTATCTCAAGTAAATGCTGTTCTTTTGACCTTTCTATTCATCAAAGAATCCAAAAAATGTATAATAGTTTCCACAAAAATATTATTAAGCAGCACAAATGTTTTCAACATTGATAATAAGAAATGTTTCTTGAGCACCAAATCAGTATATTAGAATGATTTCGTAAGGATCATGTGACACTGAAGACTGGAGTGACGATGCTGAAAATTCAGCTTTGCCATCACAGGAATTAATTAGATTTTAAATATATTTAAACAAAAAACTGCTAAATTATACTGTAATAATATTTCACAATATTACTATTTTGCTCTACTTTCTAAATCTAATAAATGCAGCCTCGGTGAGCATAGGAGACTCAAGGAAAAAAAATCGTACAAACTTATGAACAATAGTGTAAGTGCAGAAAGTGTTGTTTTACCTCTCTCAGTCTCATCCAGGTCAAAGTAGAAGTACTCTTTGAGATGATCCTCTTCCGCCCACCGAACGCTTTTCTTTTTCTTTCCTTTCTTAGTCAGAGTCTCCTCCTCGCCGCGAGGTTCAGACAGAGCATTGGGTTTATCACCTGAAAACATGAAATAAAGCATTTTAAATTCAGCACATACATTCATACAGCTCTCAGTGAAGCAGTGGCCAATTTAAACACAACAGGACTCACCAGTGTCCATGGCTTCAGGGTCCTCGGTGGGCACAGGTGTGCCGGGCTGCTCCAGGTCTTGGGTTTCATGAGGAGGGGTCTGAGATGAAGGAGTCTCAGGGGAAGACGGTTTGGCCTGTGAGCCAGAGTATGGCTGTGGCCTGCCGTCAAATGGACAGGGCTGTGGAGCACAAGAGAGAAAAAAAACAGTTAGTTAGTAATTTGTGCTTTTGGAGGTTTGGAGGAAATAAAAAAATTGTGAAGCATAAACAAATGAGGGTAGTCTAATGTACCACACCTTATTAGTGGTAGGGGAAACGGCTTTTGGTTTCTTTTTCTTGATCTTGATGCCAGGGACTGGAGCGGAGTTGAGGGCGTCCAAAAATCCAGTGGCCTCCATCGCTAAAAGGAAAAGAGATGGATATTTAGCACTAGTCAGAGGGGAAACTCTACTCTCTCCACCTAATTCAAAGATTATCATAATCATATTACTTGAGTTGAAGTGCTGAATGGGCATACTCACGCTGTGCGGGTATAAGTTTGACTTTGATCTCTTTGGTAGAGTTGGGGGTGGTGTTAAGCGGCTTGTACTTCTTCTCCACTGGTGGTGCGTCATTCGGCGATGTGCTAAAGGAAGAAAGTCAGAGTTTAATGATTCATTTCAAACCTTCCAAAGTAAAACCGCATTCATATTCATTCAAATCATGAATCAAATGAGATTTGATTACATGTGACTGCTCATTATTGGCAAAAAAAAAAGGAAGTGTTTGTTTACCTTGGTCTTTTAAGCATAGCTGGCTTGATGTTGTATTTGTCTCCAAGTTGTGGTGCAGTCGGGGTCTTCTTTACAGGAACTGGAGCTAGGCTCTCAACCTCCAAACCTGCAGATACCATGTTTTCAGTCAATTCAGACAGATCACTTTAAATGTGTTAATGAGACACAAGAACCTTTAAAGCCAGGTGTAAATGTTACTGAGGCGAAAAAAGACATTTATAATCCATAAATTATTAATTTAGTTTTTTTTAGGCAGCTAAAACAATGTAAAACGAAAAAAAAGAAAAGAATAAATAACCATAAATTTAAACCCGATTTTGTAACTAAAACAATTAAACATAATTTTCAGTAACTAAAATAAAGCATAAAGATTAAATACAGTGGGGAGAACAAGTATTTGATACACTGCCGATTTCGCAGGTTTCCCCACTTAGAAAGCATGTAGAAGTCTATCATTTTTATCATAGGTACTCTTCAACTGTGAGTGACGGAATCTAAAACAAAAATCCAGATACATGGTCCCATCCATCCTCCCCTTAATACGGTGCAGTCGTCCTGTCCCATTTGCAGAAAAGCATCCCCAAAGAATGATGTTTCCACCTCCATGCTTCACGGTTGGGATGGTGTTCTTGGGGTTGTACTCATTCTTCTTCTTCCTTCAAACACTGCGAGTGGAGTTTAGACCAAAAAGCTCTTTTTTTGTCTCATCAAACAGACCACATGACCTTCTCCCATTCCTCCTCTGGATCATCCAGATGGTCATTGGCAAACTTCAGACGGGCCTGGACATGCGCTGGCTTGAGCAGGGGGACCTTGCGTGCGCTGCAGGATTTTAATCCATGACGGCGTAGTGTGTTACTAATGACTGTGGTCCCAGCTCTCTTCAGGTCATTGACCAGGTCCTGCCGTGTAGTTCTGGGCTGATCCCTCACCTTCCTCATGATCATTGATGCCCCACGAGGTGAGATCTTGCATGGAGTCCCAGACCGAGGGAGATTGACCGTCATCTTGAACTTCTTCCATTTTCTAATGATTGCGCCAACTGTTGTTGCCTTCTCACCAAGCTGCTTGCCTATTGTCCTGTAGCCCATTCCAGCCTTGTGCAGGTCTACAATTTTATCCCTGATGTCCTTACACAGCTCTCTGGTCTTGGCCATTGTGGAAAGGTTGGAGTCTGTTTGATTGAGTGTGCGGACAGGTGTCTTTTATACAGGTAACGGGTTCAAACAGGTGCAGTTAATACAGGTAGTGAGTGGAGAACAGGAGGGCTTCTTAAAGAGAAACTAAAAGGTCTGTGAGAGCCGGAATTCTTACCGGTTGGTAGGTGATCAAATACTTATGTCATGCAATAAAAGGCAAATGAATTACTTAAAAATCATACAATGTGATTTTCTGGATTTTTGTTTTAGATTCCGTCACTCACAGTTGAAGAGTACCTATGATAAAAAATACAGACTTCTACATGCTTTGTAAGTGGGAAAACCTGCAAAATCGGCAGTGTATCAAATACGTGTTCTCCCCACTGTATTAGACTTAAAAAACTTAAAACTTTTACTGCAACATTTTAAATATCTGTTTAAATACTAAAATTAAAACTCAAATAAAAATAAGTTAAATAGAAATATATATTATTAAAAACACAAACTAATAAAAATGACAAAAGAAAAAGAAATTACTAAATATAAAATTAAAATTGAAAACAATAATAAAAACGAATAGATACTAAAATAGATAAATAAAAGTGACTAACCTGTAGAGCGGATCTTTGCGTGACTTGGAGCATAAGCTTTTGGTTTGTCTTTCTTCTTCTCCTCTTCTGCAACCTTTTCTCTGGGCTTCACCTCTGGACGCACTTTTCCATCCTCCTTTTTTCGTTTCTTGTCTGATGGAAAACAGAGTTGGGTTATGCACCAATAATGGAAACCCCACTTGGCTATAATTCACGTTAAAAGTGCAGCAAGTCAACTTTAACAGTTAACAGAGATACATAGAAGACAATGTAAATGAGAATCCCTACCATTGGGTGACACACCACTGGCGACGCTCTGAGAGCGGATAATAGCCATCCAGCCTTCCACCAGCACTGACGCCAGCTTCCTCAGCTCTGGGAGAAAGAGAAGTGACAGAGTTGAAACCTGACACTGGAACACTGGAAGCAAATTGTCTGGCATTGATTTATGCAACATGTGCTCTTACCTTCTGTCTCACCGCTCTTGCTCAGATGTTTCACCAGCTTGGCTGTGTTGTTCTAGCAGGAGAGAGAGAAACAACATGCAGAGAACAGGTGTTATAAGACTGCGGGGGCATGTGTGTGAGTTTTCTGGGCTGTGGTGTGGTGAAGTACCTGTTTGAGGTGGTCCACGGTCAGAGGGAGTTTCTGCAAGGTGAGCAGTATGAGCTGCAGCAGGGGGGTGTTGGTGGTGGTCTTTGAGTAAGTGAGCCAAGAGTTCAACAACTTGTAGCCTCCAACTCGAATGAATCTGAGTGGAAGAGAAAGAGTTAGGCACAACCTTGAAAACAAAAGCGTTTCAACAAACAAGTGTTTTGAATGGATATTACTCTTACCGATTAAGTACATCATGTGATTTTGTCTGGAGTAAGATGTTCAGATACATGCACCTGCTGACCATTTTGTGCGAGGCCTTCATGAGACTGTTTAAAAAAGGTTGGAAAGAGGGAAATAAGTTATAGAAAAACTATTGGTTAATTGAATGAATGGCTTTTAAAGAAGTCCAGAAAATAAAAATGGTATAAGCATCTCACGATTCTCACCTGAAGACTTTAGCGACTCCCTCAAGACTACGTAGCTCTCCATCCTTCCCCAGCAGAGCTTCCACTCCTTTCAGCACCTCTCTGGGGTCCACCGGGCCCACGGCCATAACTGCTTACTGACAGAGGGAGAGAAAACAGGGGTTATTCATGTGCTTATGCCACTGGGGAGAATCTGGAATATGGCATGACATCATCCTATCAATACTGAAAAAATTAGATGGCGCTTAAGGAGAGCTCACTGGAACAGCAAAAGGACAATGCTGAATCGTTCACAAGTTATTCCCATTAATGTTTACCCAGACAGGTGACTATGGATCTGAAGCAACTTGGAAACAACAAGCTCAGAAGACATTAGGTAAGAAGACAACAAAAATGGAGTAGAGCAACTTCCAGATTTTTTATATATATATATATTCCACTGAATCAGATATGGGCATCTTTTCAGCAGTTTTCCGATTCACATCAGATATGATTTGAAAACACAAGGACATTCATAGCCACGGAGAAAGCAGTGTCCGTTCTGTTCTCAACAGCAATAGGAACAAAGTCATGTATTCATTAATAAACACACTACATCAAACTACAGGTGATGCTCAAATGTATGTTTCATAACTAGGAAAATTATGTAATTGCATAAAAAGGAGGGTCTTTGATTACTAGATCCTAAAAACTGTTGGAATTTCAAGAAATTAAATATTACAGTGCAGCTGACTACAAAGTTCTCTTTCTAATGAACAAAATGTTTAATATATGACATCTATTGGGCTGTCGATATTAACTGGACTTTCTGCCACTAGAAAAGGGGCAGCAGGTATGACTGTTATAGTTTAACAGACGATTGCAGACTGAATTATACAACATTCATGTTACCAGTCTTTCTAGTATAATCCAATAAGTCTGTCACTTATTTAATTATACTAGAAACTGGATGAGTGGTTACGGGAGCATTGTATAATTTAGTTCATATCTGAAATTATGAAAGATGAACTTAAGTGTAAAATGTAACATTACATGTGTTATGTCAAATGTCATAAACCCACCTGCTTTTTACATACACGGTACATTACACAAAGTAAACATCACAGGTACAAAGGACTTAGTTATGGAACAGAATATAATGGCTGTGATCAGTAATGTGCATTCAAATTATTATATCATTTGAATAATACTAATTATTATACACAAGTAGAAATAGGAGGGGGGGGAAAAGACAATTAAAAAAATATATTTGAGAATGCACTTACAGTTGAACATTGTTTTACAACTTTTTTTATTAGTAATTAAGTAATTTGTATAATGATAACCCTTGTAATCCTCCAAAAGTTCAATTATTGTTTCTAATACCATTTATCACAAATTTTTCAAGACACACTAGGGAAGTAACAGTAGAAGTGTGCAAATGATTGACAGGATTTTCTTGTTTAACAGAAAAGCATTGTCACACTGACAGCTGTGAACCAACAGGGACTCTGGCATTAATACACTTTCTGTCTTCCTCATTTGACACGGCTGCGATCCATCTGTCTATTCCAACTTAACATCTAGATACATAGGTAAAACAAGATCATGTTTGTAAATATGAACATTAAATGAACCAAAACCTTTACATTATGTATATATACATATGCATTAAAAAAATATGAACAATTTTATAAATGCACATATCCACTATTCTCATTGCTATGGGACTGATGGACATAAAATGTGTAGGACTCACTTTATATCAAGTGTCTTTAAGTGTACTAACATTTAAATTAATCACTTGATACAATGCACTTACTGTGTACAGGTTTTACATTCTACTAGTATTTACAAAATACCTACATATAATTACATCTACAATAAATTTCTGTAATTACATCTATAATTACTTTTGACTCTAGCCCTTAAACTTGTACCCCAACACATCTCCCGTTCAATATGGGGAAAAGTGTTTTACAATACAAAATGAACACAATAAGTACATTGTACCATTTTTGTTTACCTTAGATAAAGTGGGACCAATTTGTAACTTTGTGTAACTAATTTTAAAGAGTAAGTTTTAAATATTTTACAAAGACATACTGCATGTTTTGGAAACTCAGTATATTAGCTGGACCTTTTTATTTATGTTTTAATTATAGACCTACAGAATTCCAGCACCAAATTACAATTTTGTGCCTTAGTGGCTTCCTGAGACTATTTCCTCGTTATATATTTTTTTCTGTATTTCATGACAAATTTAGTTTTTTTATACTCCACAAAAAAGTTAGAAATTATGTTTCTCCATATTTTCCATCCTGTAATATATATATATATATGCCAAAAAAAGTAATATAAAAAAAATACATCAGGAAATAAATAAATAACGAAGGAAATAGACTCTGGAAGACTTTGTTTCCACCTTGTGAATCAGTGTCCAATTGCAAGAAACTCCTCTAGTATAATTATGTTTAGAAATTATAATTGTAAGAGCATGATCAACAAGGGTTAACTTGAAACTGAGCACAAGGCTTTCAAAGTGTAATGTCGCCACCATGTGGTTATTTCTAACTATAGAGAATATACAAAAATGGTGTATGCCACGAAGCAATATAAGAAATGTCAATCAAATGTGATCAAGATATAATAAAATAAAGAAACATGTACAATATATGCAATACAAATTGTACATTTTTAGAAAAAATAGATGAACATAATCAGTACTAATAATATCTGAGGTAGTCAAGTCAATTACAGGGAACGTTTGAGGGAGGGAAGAGTGTTTCTGGTGGAGAGAGAGAGAGAGAGAGAGAGAGAGAGAGAGAGAGAGAGAGAGAGAGAGAGAGAGAGAGAGAGAGAGAGAGAGAGAGAGAGAGAGATCACGTCATTTGCCCTGCCCACGCGGAGCAACAGCGAGTATTTCTCCCTTCAGTTCCTCTCACCACAGCACACTTGACTGGACACCGACGAGACTACCAACTAACTACAGCAGAAATTGAACAACGCGGCGAGTTAAACATGAATACTAAATGTATTTTTTTTTTACGACTGTTAAGCATGCAAATGTTTAGCAACGTTTTAATTTATGTTCTACATAATTTCAAAGACAGTGAAAATGTCTACTAATGGCTGAATCGAAAAACTTAGAATTTACTCACTTTTGATCGTGTGAGAAATCAGGTTTTGTCTTACCCGTAACACTGTTGTTGAAGAACTTTTTATAGTCACAACCGAACTCCTTAAACACGGAACAATACACACAATTCCTGGAAACGTCAGTTGTCATAACAAACAAGAAAAAGTCAACAAGATTGTACATTCACTGTAAAGAAAATATTAACATTGTATCTGTCAAGTTTTTTTTTTTTTTTTGATGAAATGTAGATGTGAAAAAACTAGTCTAACTTTTGAAAATAAAACTGAAACTGATTATATTCCACACCTTCCTGCATAATAACCTTCCTACAGCACAAGTTCAACCCATGTTACCTACTTTCAACATTTAATCTAGTGCAACAAACTGACATCTTTAAGCAAATTGCTTAAAGGTTTTGTGTTATAACTCGTCAAAACAGAGCATCCAGTGTTGGTCGGACTAAAGGCCATTTATATGAATTTATGCATCTACTCAATAGTGGCCACAGGGGGATTTGATGTGCCATCTGTCGAAGTCTCCCTCTCTGATATAGCAGCTCGCCCTGAGCTGACAACGGCTCCTCTGATTGGATGGAGTAGGAGCTAAGCCACGCCCACTATCTTTAACCACTTCTCTTCGTGTTCGCTAGATAGAACGGGTGCCCGGTCGCCATATTTGAATTCCAACAAGTTTTTAAAAATACAACGGCTATATTCCCCACGCCTGCCATTTGTCTTCCTCATTTACAAAGTGCTACTATATTTACCCCGCTAGCGATTCACTGATGTTAAGACGATACCTCGAGCTGTATATGGGGATGATGGCAACGCGAGACAGCCGTTCCGAACTACAGTATTTCCCGTAGATCCAGTCAGAAAAACAAAGCCACCATTGCCTCGAGTGATCCGAGCAAAGGACAACCCGTCCGCCATTTTAAAGCAAAATCAACAAGACAAATAATACCCTATCTACGCACTCGTAAAACACAAAAAAGGCAATCTTTATAGTCAGACTGCTATGCATTTTATAAATTTATCATTGCCTGGGGAGGTTTATTTCATCAAACTGTATCCAGCTCCGCCAACTAACAACACCTAACGACATTATGAACAAAATGTTGCATTTCAGTCTGGGGTTTTTTTTCCGTTCGGCTAAATCCACAGGCGCCACTTGGCAATCTTTATGTGCAGATTGCGTTGATTGTTCCAGTGAGCTCTCCTTTGAAAAGAATGCAGTTTATAAAAAAAAAGCCCCAATTGAATGCAGTCACTTCCTGCCTATGGCAATCTTTATGTACAGATTGCTTATGATCAGCGATGGCTAGCTTATTATTCGATGATTTATCGTTACTTTAATTATCATTAGGATTTCTCCGTCTCACACACAAAGAGAAGCAGGGCGTTGAAGCCGCTGCTTTGGCTTTGCAATGTGAGCTCATACGCTATAGCTAGCTGTCTCGCTTTATCTCAGCATGCTGTCTGCCTCTAGAAACTGTGGCGCATTTAGGTCGCCACATTCGAGATCTTTCTATAAGTTTTATCTCTATTTATATCTGGAATCATTTTCAACAAAGACAATTGGTTAACGTACGTAATTTCGATTCAAATTGGTTTGAAAGAACACTTACTATTAATACCTCTCCTCTGCGTCTCGGGTTGCTATTAATATATTGTGCTTAACAGCAACAATTTTCAGCTTTTTAACAGTTTAAGAGAACGTAAACTGTCATGACTTTAGCATTATTGGCTGAAAAATGGCATAATGGGCGGGATTGTGGTGGCTGAAATTGAGCTTTTCCTTCTTGAACAATCTGGATCAAAAAAGCAGTAAGCGAATGTCCGTTACTCGAGTAGAAAAATTGAGTTTTTTGGGGTTTGATCTTCGTACACAGTTGAAAAATCCTCGACGCCAGATCTTCACTGAGACAGACTCAGACCTGAAACGAAACAACAGCACAAAGAGACATTAGAGAAAAGCGAATGTTTGGCGGCGGAAATCCAGATAACGGTCAAAAAGTAGTTTTGCTGTTAAAACTGAGGTAGCCGGACTTTGGGACAAAAAAAATCGTCTTTAAATCGCAAAAAGAGGGAGAGACGTCCTCCGATATGACACTTACCTCAGACAAATCCAGGAATGCTCTAGAAGGGTGGGACTCAGTATATATAGTTCTGACGTTTTTTTGCGTCATCCCGGTGTCGAGAGCGCGCTTTCGGGCGTTTATTTCAACACAAAATGGAGTTGATGATCACGCGGTCCTCTCGCGTGCACACACTCGAAACGACCTTTTGTGTTCAAGGACGAGCCCATCCCCCACTCCGTTTTCCGGTTGTTGTTTTACAGGCTTTCTGTGCAAGGGTAATAATTAATTTGTTAAAATTTGGATTTGTACACGAACATAGGCATATTCTTTTATGCATTGAAAAACTAGATATTGTAATTTGGATTGAACGTTTATGTAAATTACTGTAACACTATTATGTTCAAAGTCTGGGTTAAAATGAGAAACATACAAAGGATGGAAAAAGAAAAAGAGGGCATGCAAATAGGGTTAGAACATATTTCAAGTTTTGATCAGTCTTTGTTGACAGATGTGTGATTATGTAATGCTTAAATCCTTTCAATAAATCTATGATGGATTTTTATATTTATATTTTCAACAATAAAACATAACGTAGAAAATATTATAAAACATTAATTAATTTATATAACCACCAATACGACTGTGAAACGGATTAACAAGAGGGGTTATTTTAGTAAAGGTTTCACAAAAAGTACATTTACACCGATTTCTGTAAGGTATTTGGCAAAGTAAAAATGTGTGAATGTATTTATCTCTTTAAAACGAGAAAAAGTGAGAACAATAAAGTTGTGCACTTCCGTCACAATACACTTTGACCTCTCAACAACTTCCTTGTTTGCTACAAAGACAAAATGGCAGCCTCCTTACAACGCATTGGAATAGTTATCTGCCGCTCATTTCCTGTTATTTTACAACGAAATCTTCAAAGACAGGTTGGTTGATTAAAATCCTTTTAATAAATATAGTTTATGCAAGAATATTAAGCCTGTTGTGGTTACAGTTCAGTGAAGGCATGCGAACAGCTCAAAATGACGACATGGACAATTTACGCGTTTTGTATTGCAGATAATTCGTGATTGGAAAATAACTTCAAGTGCCGCTCCAGTGTTGCGTGTGAATTTTTGTGCAACAACAACATCATCTGCTGATAGCACCGATTCAGCTGAGACACTAGTGTCTAGATATGCCGATAGACCATGGGAATACTTAGAAAGTGAAGGTAAATATGATCATTAAATGATTGAAAAACAGTAATTGTGGTCAAACAGTGGCTATAATAGCTCTTTATTTAGAATACATTGAACGCTATGGATCAAAGCCTGTGTGGTCCAACTACAGGAGGAACCATAAGGGGGGCGTCCCGCCTCAAAAGACAAGAAAGACATGTATTGTAAGTACACATTTGTTTTGGTTTTATTTTCTTATTCAGATGCTTTTCTCAGTCTATAAACTTTGAATTAATGAGAGTGATTTTGAATTGCCATATAGAGAGGAGATAAGATATGTGCGAACGCTTGTCCCATCTGTCGTGATCCAAATGTCATTGTCCATTACAAGGTTTGTTTTTCGATTCTTTATTTCATTTGAACTGTGTCAATACTACACTTTAAAGTTATTTTCTTTAATATACAGTATTTTCCCCCCTGCAGAATGTGAACCTGTTGCAGCAGTTCATTAGTCCTCAAACTGGAATGGTGTATGATCCCACTCGAACCGGTAACGAATTTCTCAATAGGTACAATTGTCATATTTCTAATATGGTTCTTATCTGATCACCACTTTTCTCTTCATCTTTGTTTCCTCAGGTGTGTGCATGAAACAACAGAAACTACTTAACAAGGCTGTTGATACCGCTAGAGATCATGGTAAACTGATGTTTTAAAAGGATAGTTCACCTAAAAATAAAATTGCTGTCATTAATTACTCCCCCTCATGTCGTTCCATATCTGTGAGTCTTTCATTCATCTCCAGAACACAAATGAAGATCTTTTTAATGAAATCTGAGAGCTTTCGGTCCCTCCATTGACAGTCTACGCAACTACCACTTTGACGCTTTAATAAAGAGATCGTAAAACTAATCCATATGAATTGAGCGTTTTAAAGTCTACATTTTCTGAAGAACAGATTGGATTTAGGCATTTATTCACATATAAACATTGAGCAGTGAACATAAACAGAAGCTCAACCGTACTTGCTTGACGCAGAAGCTCAAACGTGCTGCATAACACACCAGAATGAACCTCATTGGTTCTCTCACGTCAAGCGAACATGGTTGAGCTTTCTTTTACCATATCTGATGTGTAAGTTGATGAATGTTTATGTGAATAAAAGCCTAAATTCAATCTGTTCATCGTATACAGCGATCGAGTCTCTTCAGAAAATTGACTTAACCGCTCAATTCTTATTGATTAGTTTTAGGATCTCTTTATGGACGTTTTGAAGCGTCACAGTGCTAGTTGCGTTGCTGCAAATGGAGGGACAAAGTTCTCAGATTTCATAGAAAAGATATTCATTTGTGTTCCGAAGATGAACGAAAGTCTTACGGGTTTGGAACGACATGAGGCGGAGTAATTAATGACAGAAATTTTATTTTTTAACGAATTATCTCTTTAAGTACCAATGTGCACACAGATAAATCCATTAATAAAAGAAGCTAGAAGGAGCTGATGCATAAGAGCTTTATGTGATTAGATTTTTTTTTTTTTTTCCTTTAAGGTTTACTTCTTGTCCAGCTACCTCATGTGGACTACTCAAAAGAGGACTACTCAAACACCCATGGTGCTGTTGCACCAACCCCTGCTCCATTTTCTCTCAACTCTGGAGAAATGTGGTACTCATGGTATGGTAATATAAAAGCAGACGAGCGAGAACTGGCAAGAGTGAAGCGAATCTACAAAGAATACCTGAAACCAAATGTTTGAATCTTGTTGTAATTAGACCGTAGCCAGGGTAGACGCCATACTGAACTTCACATGGGTGAAAACGAGGTTACGAGGGATAGACTTAGTCTTTACAATGGCATGCACTGAATAAAGGTCCAAGATCAAACATTATTTTCAAAACTGTTATATGGAATTTTTTTGTCTGCTAAACAATTGGCACCCTCACAGACTTGTTTTCATTCTTGTCAAAAACCAAATATGGTGGTACCTTGACAAAGGTCTACAGAAAGAGTAACTGAATTTAAATGTTTCCATAACAGTACTTAAAATGAGCAACAAGAAAATGTACATTTCCCATTTGTTGCATTTTGTCCAACTGAGCATAAAATACATTTAACTTGTTAAAATAAAAGGTCTACAACAAACTTGACTTTGTTGCAAAAAAAATATTTATTTGCTTTTCCATGAAATTTGGATGTACACTATATATTCAAATCAAGTTAATCAATAGTCATGTGTTAATATCATCATTCAAGACAGATGAACTACAGGTAGCATCACTGCTTGAACAAGTATATATATATATATATATATATATATATATATATATATAGGGTAAACTCTTTGGGGCTGGTTTAGTATGAGAGCATGATGATTTAATGATCTAAACCAAAGTGCTCATTCTACAAAGGCAGTTTAACACTAAATATATGCATCAGCAGTCAGACACATCAAACTGCACACTTCTAGTCCCCTCTGTTCACATGTGATGGGACTTATTTTTATAGCATTGCATCACACAGATAAACAGCTGGTAATGATATGGCCTGAATGCAAGATTAATACAAGAATGTCAGACATGACTAAAGAACAAGCACTGTGTGTATAAATTGTATGTAATTGTATGTAAAAATACTGATTTGGATTCAGTCTTAACCTAAAAGGCATGGTGGGAAAAACATCCTTACACCAACACTGTGACTCTAGGGTTTGTATATACATCACCCAAAAGAGTTTGCATGCAGGTGCTGAGTTTGAATGATCAGTCAATTTAACAAGAAACTTTTTGGTTCTATTAGAATTTGCAACTTAGATGCAACCTAAAAGCCCTTCAGTGATGTAGTCTGACAATCTTGTTATTAATACCAGCCGTTATTCATTTTTAGGCTTGTTGACCAGGGTTTCTCCAAGGGCCTCCAGAACTTCTCTCTTGTAGTCTTCAAAGTCTCCATCAATTTGGTTGATTGACTGGTCCTCCACTACCCACATATGGCACTGGGTCTCTGTGATCAGCCTGGCATCATGGCTCACAATTATCACAGCTAAAAAAAAAAAAAAAAAATCATTAGATGTTAAAATTTGACCCCCTGGTTTCTACCTTAAAAATCACTTTAAATTAAGTAAAATCTTGCAGGTACACGGTATATTAAAGGGTAACTAAACACTAAAACAACTTTTTTTTGTTAATGATCTGTAAGAATGGAGCTTCATAAATGCTGTTCATTGATTCAAGTAAATTTTTTGACATTTGGGTATAAAGTGTTTTAATTTTCAAATATATGGTGTAAAAACGTATGAGTGCTGCCCTCTTCAGGTTAAACGGAAAGCTCCTGAAGTAGGGGTACTCTATGACGGACCTCTGTCACGCCCTTGGCAGCCCCTGGTATAAAAGCATCTGGTTCCGTCAAAACTACTGTAGCGGGTCAGGAGTTGGAATTACGACTGCGTGAAATAAGCGTATTGAATACGATCAGGATAGTTTTAAATTTGAAAATCAACAAACAGCAAATAAAAACAAGCAGCTCTATGCACTTTTTAAGGCAAGATTCTATTCTGTGGCATTTCCTTCTGACCGTCGTCAATAGCAACGCATTCTAACACAGCGCAAATCCATGCATCACAACGGACGCGCTCTCTCGTTTCATTCAAATACAACTTGCCGTCTTGCGTCTCCGTTTTTGATTGTATTGAAAATGAAATCAGAGTTCATTTATTATTTACAGAGTTTGATAATATTGTTGTGATCATCTTGTCTGGACGATTGTTTTGTACGCTGGACAAAATGGATTTATAAACAGGTAACATTAATGCAAACTTTTCTTCGTGGAAGCTTCACGTTTATTTCAAGTGAGTGAGATAAAATATTTCAACTCAAAACAACATTTTGAAGTGTATTGCAGCGACTTTTTTTGTGCATGTTCTGCAGACAGGGACTTAATCATCGATTAAGTTTCCCTCAGGACTTTTGTAAAAGCCAAAATATGACCACACCTCAGATTTGGTCCTCTTAAAAGGCAGAAAAATCAGGTGAAGGTGGGGAAGAAAAGACTTCAAATGACCGCTCTGTTGCAAAGCTACTTGCGTCACTCCAGTTGCTCTCCATGTTAGCCAGTCTGACAGCAGCTGTCAATTAATCCGTCTCTGCGGGTCTCAGGTGCACGCCCCCCCGCTCAACCCCGCCCTCAGTTCGTCCCCTCTATCTCCGCTGGGCTCTGCCCACTTTTCTAGCATTTTTCAAATATTGCCAGTGGGTGGAGTCGGGCTCTGACCAGGGGTTTAGTTACCCTTTAATATCAATGAATCGGTATACATGCACACAAGATTATTAGTCACAAAAAAGGCATAGGAGATCAATAATATTAAATTCAGCATTGTGCTATTTTGGAAACCAATACAGAAGAAAACGTACCCCCTTTGTATTCATTGACGGCTTCTGACAATGCATCAATCGACTCAATGTCCAAGTTATTTGTGGGCTCATCCTGTACATTTGCATGAAGAGGTTGAGAAAGAATGTTAAACCACTCATTTTAGTAGAAACAGCTTGAATAAGTCATTTAAAACAACATAACTCCTTACCAAGATGAGGACGTCAGGTTGGCGACAAGAAAGTTCAGCAAATACCACTCTTGCTTTCTGACCACCTAAAAAAACAAAAGGAAAAAAAAAAATGTCTACGAAGGACAAATGAGTTTGAAAATCATACATGAATGCATTTCTATAGTGCTTACCAGACAGTTTGGAGATCTGGATGGTGTGTGCATGGCTCTCTAACCCAAAGCGACCCAGGCACTTCCTGGCGTCCTGGTACTGGAGATTGAAATTCCTCTGGAGGTATTCTGTGGGAGACTCTTCCATGTTCAACTGATCAGCATACTGCTGGTTGAAGAACCCTACTTTCTACAGGCACAGACAGAAGAATTAACCAATTACCCAAAAGTCAAGAAAAGGAAAATAATGAGAATGATTTTAAACATTTGGCCTACCAATCGATGATTCTTCCTCATCTCTCCTTTAGACTAAAATAAAAAAGAACTTAATTAGTGCCATTAAAGAAATCAACAAACTTGGGGGGGAAATGAGTACACAATCATTATTCTCAAAAAAAAAAAAAATTCTCTCGTTTTTTTACAAATAACATTTTTTTCATAAATATAACTGGTACTTACAGGATTTAATTTTCCGGTCAAAAGCAGAAGGAGTGTACTCTTACCAACTCCATTTGGCCCAACAATACATACTGAAACAGAAAAATGATCTCAGGCTCATTTTCAAACAATCTCTTGTGAGCATATTTTCCACCATCATTAACCTGCCAGTCATAATGTCTGTAGACATATGCGACTTACTTCTGGACTCCATGTCAATTCCAAAGTCTACATTCTTGAACAGAGGTTTCTGGCCTTCATAACCAAAGTCAACACCTGTGAGTGAATGAGAGGAAACGACAAACTTGTCACCAATACCCAACATGTTTAATAAAAACATGATTCTACAGAGTGAAAAGTGATAAGAGACAGGAAAAATAGAAATGTACTCACTGTAAAGGCCTAGAATTGGTGGCGAGAGTGGAGGAGGGTTGGGGAAAGTGAATTTGACGGTGTATTCTTTCGGCCTCTTGAGGAGCTCTGGCATCTCACGGCTCTCCTCCTCCTGGCCTTTCTTCTTACCCTTCTGCTGTTTCCTCGTCAAAATGTCTTTCGTCTGTTTCTCCTGAAAAACGAAGAACGAGAATGAGTAGCAGTACTTCAGAAGAAGAAAAAAAATCAAGGAAAATGTCAAGGACTCACAGCTTGTTTTGTGGACTTTCCTCCAGCCTTCAGGTCTTTGAGCTTTTTCTCTTGTTTCTCGTATTGCTTCAGGAGTTCTTTTTGTTTCTGTACGTACATCTTCTTAAACGTTACTAAGACACATCAAGCAAACAAAAGTTAGATACAGTTAGATAACTAAACTTCTTTGAGCAGTTTTAATTTGTGTCGGCAATCAAAATGAAACTCACGATAGTTGCCCCTGTAGTAGTAGAGTTTCTGGTTGTCCAGGTGCATGATATCTGTACAGACGTCATCTAAGAAACTCTGGTCGTGGGACACAATTAGAAGCGTTTTCTTCCAGCTCTGCAAGTAACTAAAAGAGAAAATGAGATGTGAGGTGATTCTTGAGCACTATATAGCAATTATTATGACAAAGTGACCAAAAATCATTGTCACAATAGAGTTGCTGAGCAGTGGCAACATGAGTGACAGTCACCATTTGTGATGCATTGTGTGTCCAGCGATACACCAATGTTAAGAAAAGTTTAACATTATGAAAATGAACAGCAACTACCAATAGGTGAAAAGACTGTAGTCAAGTGTAGGAAATTTGGAGTGTAGGCTTATTATTGCCTACATGAAAGGATATAATAATAAGTATATAAAATAGGGTTGTTATATATTGCAGATGTTTCTGTAATAAATCGTGATTAATCATGATGTGTTAATGTGGCAACAGCATTTTAAATATTTTATATTTCAGTTCAATAGCATCTTTTTACGAAGTACTATGAATGACAGACAGTATCACATATATCATAAACTCGTAAGACTTTCGTTCAGTAAATGATGACATTTTTTTTTTTTTGTGAACAAACCCTTTGTGTTAAACAGTAAATATAATAACAATAAAGTAAATGTTGTTCATGATAGGATGCATTATTTTTGTTATATTTTCATTATATTTGTTATTTTTACGAGGCAACTGTTTCTTTGTAAAAAATTAAATTACATTTAAATTCAGAGCTAATACATCCTATTTGTTGTCAGCAAAAATACATTTGTTAAGGCTTGTGTTTATAATACATGTAGTTCATTATGAATGTCAATATAATTTATGTTTGTTTTATACTTTTTAATTCCAGTTCTGTTCTGAATACCGTTACATTTTTAACGTTGTGGAGCAAGAGGAACTAAAATATGTTCATGTTTATAGTGTTTATGTTTGTTTAAACATTAAACATTTTATTTAATTTACCTGTATTTTTGCATGATTTCTGAATGTAATAATAAAATGTGACAGACACTTATCTGTTTCCCCCCCCCCCTGCTAACAATACAATTTAGACCCATCGTGACATTGCAATTTATTTTCTGGAAAATATGATATGATTAAAAGTGATATAAAGTGACTGACGACCTCCAGTGATCTAATCAGTGTGAACTACCCTTATTATGATCAAAAGACACCATCAACTGGGAACATTTATGAAAAAGTAGGCCATTTATAATTTGCATGAAATATAAATACATCAACTAGATGGAGTTGTTTTGTTGATATTAAAAGCAGAAGTAATTACTTGTTAAGCCAGATGACAGCGTTAAGGTCCAGGTGGTTAGTGGGCTCGTCCAGCATCAGCAGAGTGGGCTCCATGAACAGCGCTCTGCACAGAAAATAACACAGAAAAACAATAATATATCATTTCTCATGACAATATGAGTGTAGACTTTAATTAACATTTATAAAATTAATATATTAACACCTAGCCAGGGACACTCTCATCCTCCATCCACCAGAGAACTTCCTGGTGGGTCTGTTCTGCATCTCTGGAGTGAAAGACAGACCAGCCAAGATCCTACGAGCTTTAGCCTCCGCTGCCGCTGCTCCGATCACCCTCAACTCCTCATACACCTGTGAGCGACACACACACACACAGGTATCCTTCACTACTCCATGGATCAGCATATTTACAGGATCTCAGCAAGCTGCTCTCATCTGACCTTATCGAGCCTCTCGGCCACGCTGTCGTCTCCTTTCTCCAGTCGACTCTGTAGCTGCCGTTCATCCTCCAGGAGCTTCAGTCTGCGTGTGTCTGCCTTCAACACCGCCTGAACTGCAGGAGTGTCATCCGCTACCACCTCTGAGGAACAACAAAGAAAAAAGTAGCAAGGGATTTCACAATCGGTATCATATCACACCAATAATAGACAGCTCAAATCAGAAAGTAGGGATAAAAAAAATTGGGAATAGGCAGACAATTCCCAATTGTCTTTAATCTTTATAGATTAAAGATGTGTATGCAGTAAATGTATCTAACAGAATACGCCTGTATAGCTGCTGTGCGTGAGCTGATGAGTGAAGCACACTAAGTGAATTGAGCATGCATGACTTGTTCTGGTATTGGTTCGACCCTAATTAAACCCATAAAAAAAACAGTGAAAAACAGAAATGTTAACTGAAATAAAACATAATAAATATATATTTTATTTCAGCTAGTTGCCAAAAGCAACATTTTCATTTAGTTTAACTTGATGTACTAAAATAACTAAATGTGAAATTAAAATGAATAAAAACTATAGCGATAAATAAAACTGACAAAACAAGAAAGAAAATTACAAAAATATTAAGTAAAATTAAAATTAAGGGTCGAAATTGTCCCCACCACTTTTTGAAACACCTCACGACACGGGTGTTTCTAATACAAATAAATCAAATATCTCCAGTTAACAATTCATTTTGTTTGTTTGTTAAATAAGAGGCGTTCTAGCGCTGAAATGTGTTATTTTTTAAATCAAGCCGCTGAGCTCGTTGCCGCTGCTATCAGTGGTGCGGATACAGTGTTCTTTTGTGGCTCGCGCACAGTCTTCACTCAGACACGCTACATCACAAAACAAAATGCACACAAACGTGTCCCTGACTGATATACAACCACTGATGAACATATTCGGTTTAGATGAGAAAAAAAAAACTATAGGCCCTACGAGTGCGGATTAAAACCCAGAACCTCTGACACGCTTGGCAAAAGGTCTACAGCAAGACCATTGAAGTACGTATGCAAGTGAAAAATTCTCGGCACTAACAATATATATTAGCAGATCTCATTAAATGACCAATTAAACCCAATGTACTATTGAAATTTATTCTGGACTTCGTAATGTTATTTTTTCCAAAAATTGTTATTGTACACATATATTGTAAATATATCTGATTTAGCATAACACTGCTGTACTGTACCTTGCTCACAAAGCAGGACATCAATATTGGGAGGAATGCTGAGAGCTCTGTTAGCGATGTGCTTCAGTAGAGTGGTCTTCCCTTTCCTGATTCAAACAGGAGTAAGGAAACCAGTTTTACAAGCAAACTAAATCTTAAGTGCAATGTAGTAATGTGTCAAATTAAAACCATCAACCCACCCATTTGGTCCAACCAGACCGTATCTTCTCCCAGCAACAATCAGAAGGTCTGCGTTAACAAACAGCTCCTTACCGTGGGCTGAAATGCTGAATCTTTCTAACTAAAACATCAAATGGAAATCATTTAGTACACAGTGCTAAGTGTTATCAAATGGGTCAGAGGAAAGTTTCCCAGTCGTCTAACCTTGATGTCCGAGGCGTTTTCCAGCATGGCCTGTCGAGAGGACAGCTCAGCCTGAGAGACGGAGAAGTCTCCCTCTATAGCGTCCTGAACACGCAGACTATCCACCTGACGCTGATACTCCATCTGTACAACACAGGAGGAAGTGTCTACAATCAGTGTTACTATTGTGAACTAAAACTATTAAAAATCATTTTTGTTAATTGAAAGAAAAGCTGAAATAAAATGAATGTCAGATGACAAGCATAAATTTAAAGAAAACCTGAAGTATTAAATGTGAATGAAGACCGAAAATATCAAAATAAAAAGAAATTCAATATTCAGACATCACAACGATTGAGAGCAATCTGTCCTTCAATAATATAAACATTTATTAGAGTATTCAAAATTTGCATACGCTACCATTTTCTTTTTCTTCTTCTTCTCTTTTTTACTCAAGTTAGCAAAAGGGTCGTCCGGTTTCTCTTTGGCTTGCTCAGCCGCGAGCCCATCCTCTGCACTCTACGGGACAGGAAATAGGATAAGATGATAGAAATGAAAGTGGATTTATGAACACTTGGAGATTTCGAATATTAGGAATACAAAATAAGAGAATATTTTTGTACCATCATTGTGTCATTGTCATCACTCTTTTCTTCCTCCTCTTCATCATCATCACTAGGAGGAGGAGGAGGGCGAGCAGGCTGAGCAGGCTTCCCTTTCTGAAAACACACCAAAACACAAATACATTTTTTTTTTTTTAAATAAGCAGAGATTAATGTAAAAAAACTTGAAATAACCACGTCATCTCCACAAAATTTTTATGATTGGCTTAAAGTAGACTTTTTACGTCAGCGCACCTCGTGCGGGCTCATACGAGTTATCTTTATTCTTTGTTCACATAAGCATCATACCAGTAATTAACTCTTAATGTTACAACTTCTCATACTGGTAAATTGCCAGAACCGATTTACTGTTCACACATGATCTATTAATGGTAAATTACCAATAATTTACCAGTAAAGACTGTATGTGTGAAAGGGGCTACTGAATAACAAGGCCTTTAAAAATAAATATTTTACTGACCTAAAACTTATAAATTGTAGTATATATATGTTTTTCTGACCTTGGGCTGCTCCTTCTTGCCTTTCTTCTGAGACTTCTCTTGTTCTTTCACTTCAACTTCATCTTTCTTCTGAGGCTTTTCTTGTTCTTTCACTTCAACTTCATCTTTCTTCTGAGACTTCTCTTGTTCTTTCACTTCAACTTTATCTTCCTCCTGTCAACATTAGAACGTCCTTTAGGTTAGACACAATTACACCTTCACTGGCTTGTCAAAACACCACATTCATCAAAACAAGAGACACCCACCTTAGATGGTTTAGCAGCAGCTTTCTTGCCCCTTTTCCCACCTTTCTTTTCATTCTCATCTTTTTTCTCCATCCCTTCATCTTGTTCATCCTCTGAGGCCTCCTGTTTTTGAGAGAACGCAGTAAACCAAAGATCCTTTAGGAAATGTGTGATCAAAGCACTACGCACCGTACAATATACTGTTAGTAAAGCAGATCGGAATGTGCAGAAAGGGGTTAGTTTCTGTGATGACTGCAGCACTGCTGTCATGTAGCAATAAAAAAAACGGCAAGTTAGAAGAAAGGTAGAAGATGTGAATTTTGAAGAATGAAAACAAGGAATAAGAATATAAAGAAGCTTAAGAAACAATCCCATGTACCCACCTTCATTATCTTAGGTTTAGCCTTATCTTTTTTCTTGCCCTTGGTTACCTTCTCAACTTCCTGAATCACATACATACACAGAAACAGGCACAAGTACTTATAAATGTAGAAATATTCAATATGCAGCCTAATCTTTCCTTCCGTATCAAACACATACAATGTGAATAAAATGATGTGCAAAATCAGCCTCACACAAAAGATAAAAACCCTGAACCAAGACAGATGAGTGCCAATATCACATGATTTCATTAAGAAACGTAGTTTTTAATGACTGAAACAATGAGGGCACTGGAACCGGTCTGGAAAAGGAATGAATGCAAAATGGAATGAATTCCACTGGGAATGTCATGAAGCGAGAGAAAGGACATGAGGGATGGCTGGAGCGGGACTGAAAGATGAATCAACAGAATATTAGAGAGCATGAGTTATGTGGTGGGTGATGCATATGTATTATGGTTAGGTACATCAAATTTGACGATGCTAAAGATAATATTATGAATATTGATGGTATAGACAGCCACTGATGACTAAAAAGACAAACTAACAAACATTGATTTCCATGCAATTTCTCTCTACAAACAAATTATGAAAATTAAAGTTCTAATAATAATATTTATACTGGTAGTTGCATGAAATACTTTTGAGAAGTAGATATCTAAAAAAATGATGAAACAAACCTTTGTGACACTCACACTGATATCATATATATATATATATATATAGCCACACAGACTCAATCTACAAGGACTGACTCTGAAATAACTCACCTTAGAGCTCTTTTTGTTTTGGGGTTTCTCGTCATCGTCATCATCATCATCATCATCATCTCCATCTCCACCTGCGTCTTCTTCATCGTCATCATCACTTTTCCCCTGACTCAGAGCAGCAAATATGTTGCCACCCTAACAGTAGAAAAACAAAAAACAAATCTAAGCGATGTGTTCCACCATCTAGATTAGTCCTGCCACTAGTGCAGGGATTCCCAAATGTTTCCATTCCAGGACCCACCTAGAAAAATATTATCTAATCTATCCCAAGACCCACCAAAATATTTGTGCTTAGAAAAGAAGTCGAGTATTTAATAAAAATAATACATTTTATTTTATAACACAACTGTAAAATGTCAATACTAATATTTACGTTTTAATCTCTACATTTACATATGTTAAGGAGTATGAAATATATCCATAAATTTCCGCTCTCTTTGGTCCGAATATGAACTGTAATCTGTGCGGCGAGTGTTGTTAAACTCATCGCCATCATGCTTGTTCCATGTGTTTACATTGTGAGATGCTTTTTACTGTTTCCTTATGTGTTGGTAGGTAGCCAAATGCACACGAAGGAATGAAAAAACGTACGTCTCTAAAAGACAACAGCGCTGAGTTGAACAGACGACAGAGATGAATGAACACACCTGAAACAGCCTTTTATGACATTTGAATTCTCTGTTGTAATGCAATCGCATGCAGAATACAGCACAGTGATTGGAGTAAACGAGTTTCTTCTTATACAATTAAATCACAACCAATATCACAATTTCTAATTAATGTTGGTATATCGTGCAGCCCTAGACTAAACTGTTTGTGTGTGTTTGTGTTATTCACTGAAACCCCAATTTAGCTGCAGCCAAGTGACTTTGCCCAAACCAGTTTGAAAACCCCTGCACTATTGGATGAATAGAGACGCTGACGTCGTGGATCACATGGCTTAAATTGCACTGTTCTATACATGGTGCAGCAAGAGAAAATTACTCTTTTCTGCATCCCAGTGAAATAAAGCAACTTACTTTGTTTCGCTTTCCTCCTTTGACTGGAGCAACAACTGCAAAAATAGAAATAAGCCACAATGTTAAATATGTCTTGTGATGCGTGACATACTGGCACAAACTAAGTTTATGACATTACCATCTTCCTCATCTTCATCACTGGCCTGGACTGACAGTTTCTTGAGACGCTGCATGACCTCTGAATCATCATCATCATCGTCGTCGTCGTCTCCTGCTTTCCCTTTTCGTCTGTCTTTCTTTTTCTTCTGAGGCTAACAGTAAATGACAAGGAAATACAATAACATACCATATTTGAGTATAATTTCATTAAACATATTATTACTACTAGTATTTTAAAACTGGCATTAATTAAAATAATGCACCTGTTTCCCTTGTGCCTCTTTCACTGGTGGCTGCTCTTTGTCTGGTTTATTATCTGATGCCAGCTCCTCGAAAAACTGTAAGATAAAATAAAATTAAAATGATAAAATGCAGAAATATGCATAAACAATTCAGATGTCAGAGGTATAATTATATAATAGGCTACATTGCATTTGGTTCTGCTAGTTGCTCAGATAATATTAAATAACTAAATAACTATAGTAACTGGCAAAAATATTCCATTATATATAATTTTTATTACATATTTTAATGTATGTGAAGAAACAAGATATTTTGGAATTAAAGTTATAACGGACCAAAGTTGTGAATGGAGACTTACACTCTTTTTCCCTTTCTTATCCTTCTTTCCTTTTTTGATATGTTTGTCTAAAAAAGAAATAGCATTATGGTAAGCACTTTTGTCAACATAAATACACTCACAAACACACCTGACAGACAAAGCAGGCTGGAATAAACATGCACACCGACAGAAGAATGACAATGCCACAGAAAGAATGTCATGTGTACAGGATAAAAACGGCTGTCTCCAAAATAGTCAGCATTTTGGGCATCATATGAGGTTAGGCACATTTGAACGTTCCCAAAATGCTGTTAAAGACTGCAGCTCACTAGGTTTTGAAACAAAGCCACTACTATATCAGCAGTTAACCCTTGCGCACAGTAGAGATATGGATCAAAAAGCGAATATGGCAATGATGACAGTGAAACATCAAACTCCGCACCGAAGCTAATGGGCTAAGCAAAATATACCAGCGATATAATAAAACACAACCCCTTTATCTACATTAAACAAAATGAAAGAAAAATGTATTAAAAAGCATAGCTGTCATCATAGAAACTATTTCAATATAGTTGCATCATATTCATTTCGCTATTATTATCAGGCTGTGGTGTAACAGAAACCCATAATCTTACCTGTTTGTTGTTGTTGTGGTTGTTGTTCATCATCACCCTCCCACTCAGCCACCTCTTTTGATTTCTTAGGCATTTTTCTGCTAAACCTTTTCCCTCACAAGGAAAGCAAATACAATATGTTAAACGTGACTCAGGGATGGATCACAGCTGACAATGAACACGAGCACACTGTGGCTCACATCACATGCGGCCTATCTGCGCACTGCCACAGACATGCAAACGCCGGGAATTTGGTTTGCGACAGCGCCACACCCTCACGCAGGCCGCCAAAGGTATTGCAGCAGCGTTGTCTAAAATGATTGATTTCAAAGAAAAAGTTGTTACAGTAGAAATTGTGCTGGTGTCTCAATAGGTCTTTATTCTAGAAAAAAAAACGTTTATTTAAAACACTTAAATATTTTATTGAAAAATCAGAAAATTTAAGTAATTTAATATGATTTATTAATTTCATCATGATTTATTCTAGTGTCCTTGTTACACGTTACATGTACTACTTACTTTGGTAGTAACAGTACATTATGCACAATTTCAAGCAACTGATCGTAAACCAAACCCTTACCCTTTAGTAAGTACGTGTTAATTAATATTACTCAGTCAGTACGTATTGGTGCAATTACACTATAACAAGGACTTCTTAAAATGAAGTGTAATATAATATAATATAATATAATATAATATAATATAATATAATATAATATAATATAATATAATATAATATAATATATAATATAATATAATATAATATAATATAATATATAATATAATATAATATAATATAATATAATATAATATAATATAATATAATATAACAATGTTTTAGTATCCTTGTAACACATTTTACATGTACTTACTATAATAGTAACCCAAACCCTAAGCCTTTAGTAAGCTGTTAATTAATATTACTGTATTGGTGTAATAATAGTGTAAAAATGACTCCTTAAAATAAAGTGTGACATAATATAATAAGATTGTTTAATGAATTCCACTGAGAAAATAAAAAATCCAAATCTGAATATACATAAATCTGAATATACAGGTTTGGATCTCTCATGACAATGGACCACTAACTATCCTGCGTTTCAGACTTTTATTTTGAAAAGAAAAAGCCGCCATAGTTCATTGCGGGAGTGGGTTTCTTGCAGTTCGTCGTGTCCGCCGCTGGATGCCGCTGTAACAGGCAGATTCCGCTTCTAGAAGGTGGATGACGCATGCGTGGAAAGACTGCCACTGGGCAAGGACATAAGGAGAGTGACATTTGTTTGCGTTAAAAACAGATTCATATTCTTTCTAAATCACACAGGAATTTGTGTCAATCAGATTTGGATACACTCTCGCATCTCTGCACAGTGAGCTGACGCTCTACATCATTTCATCTGATTCTTTGAGGACAGGTATGCATTTAATATTTACAAGCAGGACAGCTAACTGACTGACTGGCATGTGAAGACTAACAGAATAACTATTATCTGTCCAACTCAGACAGGAATCCTATGATCCTTGATCACTTTCAGCTGAAACACTACCCTATTTATTGTCGTTCAGTTTGTTTACCTCGTTTTGAAAGAGTTTATATTATACTAGTCAGATTGTCAGCTCAGGGGTTGAATGTGTTGATTTGTGAAGTGTGACCCAAGCGTGATGTGCATGTGTCAGGCTGCGTCTGATCACTGTCAATACCTGCCCAACTGGAAATATAGCATATTTAGGTAATACATATCGTGGATACAAGGCGTAGTTTAATATAAACAGATAATTGAGCAATAAGCTTCTTCAACAATTTTATATGATTATTTCTTAATAAAGGTCTTGAGAATGCCTTCAGAGGGCATTTTTGGGCGTCCAGAAATGCAGCATGGCCATCATACATTACTGTGCAAAAGTCTTAGGCACGTTTGTATTTTCACCCCCCAAAAATGGTTTTAAGCCAGTTATTTATATGATATATATAATATAACTGGCTTAAAACAATTTTTATGGTGAACATACTAATGTGCCTAAGTCTTCTGCACAGTACTGTAGTTGTCTGCTGCATATTTAGACGCTCTAAAATGCTGTTTAGGTTGGCAGTTGACTAGGTTTTGAGATACTGACGTTGTATGTGTTAAGCTTTTGCACCTTTTCTGTCTCACACTTGCTGCTGCCACTCACTCTAACTTAGTTAGCTGCTTTCTCAGACAGCATTCATCGAAGAATCCTGAAAAAATGTATCATGGTTTCCACAAAAAATAAACTGCACAACTTATTTTCAACATTGATAATAATAAGAAATGCTTCCTGAGCACTAAATCAGCATATCAAAATGATTTCTGAAGGATCATGTGACTGAAGACTGGAGTAATGATGCTGAAAATTCAGCTTTGCCATCACAAGGAATACATTCAATTTTAAATTGTAGTAATATTTCACAATATTACAATTTTACTGAATTTTTGATCAAAAACATGCAGCCTTGGTGAGCATAAAATATATTTTTCAAGAACATTAATACATTTTACAGACCCCAAACTTTTGAATGATAGTGTAACTCAAATAATAGAGCATTACCCATGAGTTAGATTCCTGGGAAACTCACAAACTGATCAAATGTAGACTTCAATGCATTGTACCGATAAGTTGCTTTGGTTAAACATATCTACCACATGCATATATGTAAATGTATATAACTGAATGTCTTGTAAGTGTGATTTAAATGTCTTTCCTCCCCTGCCCTAGCAAGGTTTTGAAGGACTGAAGTTGCACTGTGAATGAGTGAGTAACCAGAGGCAGCGGTGGATGGGAGAGTTCGCGTTTCCTCCTCTTTGAGTAGCGGAATGATGTCATCTTTCTGAGACTCCATCGAGGTTGCCTCAGCACCCTGACTTGAATGGCTGTGTGCAGAGGGGGTGTCTCTCTTTGGGTGGGGTGTGTCAGGAACCATGGTGGCAGGCAACCAATGAAGAAACAGTGCTGGAATTTATGTCAGGTACACAAATTAATATTTGAAAAACTTCTGTCCATCAAATCAAAGTAATGTGGTGCAACTCACCCAAAATGCAATGATATTTCTGAATTAATAATTCATGCCGTAGTATTTGTAAAACGTTTTTTTTAAACCACAAAAATGAATTTAAATACATTTTTGAAAATAAAATGTAAGACGCTGATGCTCAAAATATTAAGCAGCACAACCGTTTTCGAAATTGATAATAATAAATGTTTCTTAAACAAATCAGCATATTAGAATGATTTTGGAAGAATCGCGTGACACTGAAGACTGCAGTAATGATGCTGAAAATTCAGCTTTGCCATCACAGGAATACATTACATTTTAAAATATTTAAAATAAGGGGTTACTGTTCTTTTTTCAATAGAATAAATCGCTTTGTGGGAGACTATGAGCTTTGTAACTTAGTAAATCATATACATGCACAAATAGATACATTGCACACTAAAGTAAATGGAAAACATTAAAAACCATCTTATGATGTTCTTTTAATTGTTGTTTAATTGTTAATAATTGTTTAATTACATTTTTTAATTGTAATATTATTTCACAGTATTGCTATTTTTAATGTGTTTTTGATCAAATAAATGTGTTATTACTTTTTATTTGATGGTTACACCACATGACATTTTTCATTACCGGTACATTGAAACTTTATTCTTAAATGCTATACAAATTTTCAAAACCATATGAAATAAACATGAATACAAAAAGTGCATTTCTAAAAACTTGGAACAAAACTATATTTAAAAAAACAAAAATCCTTTGGATACCCATATTGATCATTGACCCATGTGTGAATATCTTTGCAATGTCTGGTTTTCTCTATTTTTCTGAATTTGCAGACAACCGAGTTTCACTTGAATGACAACTGCAGGAGCCTGAGCAGTGCATCATGGGCCTTGGCTCCTCCAAACAGTCTACGTTACCGTTCTATTAAACAGCCATCCCTGTCCCATCCCTTCCACCACGCATGCCAGCCAAACCAAGCGGCCAACCTAGAGGAGGAGGAATGGGAAGAGGCTGTCAGCTTGCGCGTTCTGCTCAAACCCTGTGAGACCGATGAGCAGCACACTTTGGTGGAAGTGCCCTTTTTTGGGCCGGCCAAACTAAGCGAGCTCCTTGCCTTGGGACCCAACAGACCCTTTGACTTACTTTTTCCTTTAACCACTGTCGATGGGAGCAGAGAGGATGATATTAGCATTACCCGAAAGGTAGGGACAGACACGGAGAGAGGTTCCTTCAGGAGTCTGTTTGAGACCGAGGGATGCCCTGCGCCATTTATGTTGGGATCTCGCTTCTTTTGCTTTCACTGCCCCGGGATGAAGTCTGTCTCTGAGATTGGGGACAAATCAGGAAAGGGACAGGACGAGCAGAGCTTCTTTCCAGCCCTCCGTGTCACACATTGCAGCCATGCTGAGACTGAGAGAGTGGACAACAGCTCTAGCCAGGGAGACATGGAGAATGAGGAGAAACTGGCCCTGATGTATGAAAAGCTGAGGGTGGAGGTAAGATGAGTTTAAGGGGAATGAGATGGACCACTTGTAGAAAAATGAATGGGAGAAATGATAATGCTCAATATGGAGGCCCACACAATATTTGGATTATCCTGAAAAATATAGTTTTTTTATTGATTTTAAATATGCAATATAAGCTTGACTCATAGTTAAGGCTCCACATTGTGTTTCAGCTGCCCAGTTTCTTTGTGAAAAATCATGACTACAGCATGTACTCTGAAGATGTTGAGTTCATCAATGGTCTTCTGAACACAAAGACAAGGTAAAGAGTTCCTAGATGCATGTTATTCTTGATTTTAGGCCTCATAGTCACTTATAATTGCTGTCACTTAACCCCTGTGACTTCATCAAACTCTGTTGTTTGCATACTGCTAATACACGGGCAGGGCTCGACATAAGCAATGGCCCGATGGCCCGGGGCCAGTAAAAGTGTATGTCGGGCTAGTTGATTGGCCAGTCACTTGCCCGCGCGGGCCAGTAACTGGCCATCAGCAAAACAAACAGCAAACGTCATACACAGTGGCGCGAAGAGTGTCAATGTTTCTTCAGGTTATTTATAACGTGTTAAAATGTCAAAGAACTACGAGGCTAATACGAGAAAGAGTACCGAAACCCTGTATTAAACGGGACTGAATTTTGAAAGACCGCGCTGTATCGATAAGCTCGGACGTTATCGGTTCTGCTGTCGGTACTGGAGAAATACACGTAGGCTATCATTTATTATTGCTATAAAGACGTTTTTTTTTTTTTTTTTACCATCTCGCTGAGTCGCCAGCCATTTCTATAATAAAATTAAACCATTTGTCTGTGATGCATTTTTGCTATTCGCGCAGTCCAGAAGAGAGAGAGATCTCACGCGGTGCCACAACACGCACAACACCTGACGGAGGACAGAACTAAACATTCAAGTTATGGTTACACTTTAGATCTGTGATATTAGTATGATTTTATTTTAGATTTCGGCTTCCAAAGATTATAGAATATATTTGAGGTAAAACCATTAAAAACTGCATTCTGTCTAGCGCAACTTCCTTCCCTTCGCAGCAGTACGCTGTCCTTAAAACTCAAACTTTAAGACAGAATCAGCACGATCGGTGATTGTTGTAAAATGCAGTCTCGTCTGTTGCTAAATTGCGGGACGCGTTTAATAATAAAAAGAGCTATTAAAAGCACAAAAATCTGCGCAAGAGATGCGGTTCCCAATGCAGCGCGCGCTCCGAAACATACCATAACGAGACAAGCAAATTATACTTTGGGCTTCATGTGCGGGTCTAAACGATCAAATGTACACAAAAATGTGTCAAAATGACTGGCTTGGAGATTCACTTAAACAGTTTATGTCTAAAATGGACGCAGTTATGGAAATGGTTGGGAGAAAATATGGTGCATCAGTAGACTATTAGATCTGCACTCGTTCTTAAAGGGGAAGCAGTCTAATAAACATGCTGACGATCACGCCATTACTGAGAATCCAACAACAAAAGGCACAAAGAAAATCACTCGCAGCTCTCTTGAATGAATAACTTTAGCTTTAATAAGTAAGATGAGGAGACTGAGAAAAAAAGAGAGAGGGAGATGAGGAGAAAGCAGGTATTGACAAATTTACTGCACACTGACATTTGGTTATTTTTGCATGTGTCCAGGGGCTCTCTCTTAATTCCTGAACTCCCTTCGCTGTTTTGATTAATCCTAATGTATACAATAAATACAGTTTATTTCTTTCAGGGCCAGTCAAAATATAGAAGGGGCCAGCAAAACTCTGATCTACTGGCCCCGGGGGCCAGTGGGGATTTTTTTTTTATGTTGAGCCCTGCACGGGTGTGGTAATGTAAACTGTAATGAACTTGTGTTAACAGCTTATAGATCTACAAGACTTGATTGCCATCACAATAAAAAAAATCATGAGATCACGATAATAATCATGGCTAATCTAGAATTAATCTAAAAAAGTTTTACAAGCAACACTATCAATTTTTGTTCCCTTATATTTTTTTGTCAAGTTTTGTTCTCAACATTTTTCAAATATTTTTTTCTTTTATGTTTGAAGCTCATCAGAAAAGTTTGCAAGCATTTTTGTTGCATGTTTTGATTGCCTCAAGATTTGTTTAAAAAAAATTATTTGCGAAAAGTTATTGCAAGCACATGAAAAAAAGTTTGCAAGCAAAGCCTAATTTAAAACAATTTATTTGTTCTCAACTTTTTTCATGTTTGAAAGTGTTTTGTTTGCAAAACATTTACAAGCACATCAAAAAAAGCTTTTCAAGCAAAGATTATACATTTTTGTTCCGTCGAGATGTTTTCAAAACCCTTTTCTTTTATGTTGGATAACGTTTTGTTTGCAAGCAGCACATCAAAATACTTTAAGCAAAAGTTTTTGAAATACAAAAGAAAAGCATTTTGCAAGCAAAACGTTCTAAAGTCCCGTTGTAGTCAATAATTTTATCACTTAAAATTCTTAATGCCTTAAAATAGCTTAAATGTAACTACACCCTTGTTTCATTTAGTATACACGGTTCTATGAATATGCAAATTAGCCCCGCCTCCACTCACTCACGCCAGCTCAGAGATCCACTCGGTAACGATCACGCGTTGACGTGATTGGTTACAAGGTAGTTTGAGACGTCAGAAACACCAGCGAACTGCGTTTTTGAGACTGTCTTTGGTTCACTGCGGTTTAAAGGAGAAAATACTCCGCAATAGTGTCGACTCATGAATTTGTTCATGGTTTGTCTTAAAGCACATTAAAAACACCACATAAACAACATAAAAAAAATTAGATTTTCACCACAGGGTGACTTTAATACTAAACAAATTGGTGTTGTTGTTTGCTAACTGCAAAATAAATTGACTGGTTTTGGCTTGTTACCAGTGCACTGGTACATTTGAAATACCATTGCTGATTAGTATATGCCTCTATTTCTATATCTGAAGGGGTCGTATGGCGTACCAGCTGACTCTGACGGTTTGGCGGTTGATGTGTCTGTGTTACTATGCGGAGGCTCAGCTGGAAGTCCTGAAGCTGACCAAGCATCCAGAAGATGGCTCAATCAAAGCTCGCTGGAGAATCAAAGGCCTGCCCTTCCACTCCATTCTGGTGTTCTTCTACAAGAAAGACAAGAACCATCTCTACAGGTGAGTCATGCTGTGATAGCCTGTCAAAGCCATGCCCTGTGCTCCTGTTTGTCTAACTTTATTTTATTTTTATTTTCAGAACATATGATGCATTCTCCACCTTTTATGTTGGCTCTGATGGACGAATACACCGCCATAAAGTTGAAAAGGTGTGGTTTGCTTGTAACGCCATATTTTCAGAATATCCATATTTTCCATATTCAGAATCAAGTAGGACCTTTTGATTAACTTCTGTGGGAATGAGACTTTTGTACAAGTCGCACTGAGACATTTCAAATGATACCAAACATGAATAGTGTTGTATGATAATTGTTCACATAAAACCATATAGATTTTTGGGTGAATTTCAGAATTTCAGCATGTGGAGAGAAGAGATGGGGGCAAAGGGAATGAAATGTAAATTAAGACAATACTGAGGTGATTGCGTCTCGGGTGGGGATGCTACTTTTGCAAGAAAGAGTTCAAATGTTAATTTCCAGAAACGTCCTTTGTTTTCTCTGGGAGTAGTCGTTCCTCTGTCCAGGCGGCTCGGCATCTTCCAGTTTTTCCAGTCTAGTAAGCACCTATCTATTGTGTTCACCATGAACCAATGTCAGTTCGAATGTGCTTACCAGCCTGAGAGAACTTTTCCGGAAAGTTTGCTTTGACAAGCTGTTTCAAACTCCTGGAAAAACTTCACATGAACTTCGTTTTGGCCTGATTTTGTTCTAAATGACATTACACCAGTTCGTTCTTCAATTTCAAGCTCACTTTCATATGCCTTCACTTTAGAGTGCAACGCCTACATCTCATCTTCCAATCAACAACCGATGCATAGAACCAAGTCCCCGCCCCACGTTTTTTCCTTTTTCGATAATCCATTATACTCGGCTGTATGTCACAATATGAAAAACAATCTGTTGCTACTTCTGTTTTATCATGACTTTAAACACAATTCATGTTATGATTCCAGAGGTTTCAAGAACTATATGTTTGGTAACACTTTATTTCTATAGTCGACTTATCGAAATATTTAGACATTCTACTTGCTACAAGTAACTTTACAACTACAACATGTCAACTAGCAGTCATGTCATTAGAGTATTAGTAGACTGTCTGCTTTATATCGGTTAACACCTTATTTTGATAATCCCCCAACTGACATTCTACTGACTTTAAAGGGATACTCCACTTTTTTTGGAAATAGGCTCATTTTACAACTCCCCCAGAGTTAAACTGTTGAGTTGTACCGTTTTTGAATCCATTCAGCCGATCTCCGGTTCTGGCGGTACCAGTTTTAGCATAGCTTAGCATACATCATTGAAGTGGACAAGACCATTAGCATTTCTAAAAACAAAAATGACCAAAGAGTTTCGATATTTTTCCTATTTAAAACTTGACTCTTCTGTAGTTACATCGTGCACAAAGACCGACGGAAAATGTAAAGTTGCGATTTTCTAGGCTGATATGGCTAGGAACTATACTCTCATTCCTGCGTAATAATCAAGAAACTTTACTGCCGTACATGGCCGTAGCCAGCTATGAGGTCACCGAGGTCCGGACCTCGGTCATTTTTTTTACATTCAAAAATAAAATGTCAAGCTCTCTGAATGATTAATTAGCAGTGTTTAAACCACCTCATATGAGTGTTTGCAATTCATGTTGCTGCGAGAAGCTGGCGCAGTGAACTGAACGGGGCTTGAGAGCGCGTTGTGAACGCGGGTGCAGCCTCCGTGTTGCCAGATCCACCTAATAGAAAGGTGGCAGTAGTCACCTGTTTTTCTGATTTAATGTGACACTTTAGGAAGTTATTAATGTGGGAAGGTTTAGTGATATATTAACCTTATTTCCAAAACACAAGCTTTGAACTTATTTCGGATTATTATTATTATTTTGTTTTGCTTGTTTTTCGTAGCAATATCTGGCAACATTTAACTGTCGGCATTAATACATTTAAAAAAAAAGAAGCTTATAGACAAACTGTAATTGCATAAAGCTACCACATTCGGTAAGACAAACGCAATGACAATCGATTATCTGTAAGAAATGTATAACACTATCAAAAACAATAGCATAAAACAGATCTGTATGTTAGCCTACAGAATGAAATTTGCCAAATAACTTACTGGCCAGCTGGAAGACGGCTCATGCTGTTTAGTTAACCTTTCACAAAGCCATCATAAAAACATTAATTAAAGCAGTGTTTCTCAACTAGCAATCTATTCAGTCAGCATATTTGTGTTTGATCTGTGTGAATTTCGTCCGAATTTGACGAGTGATTAAAAGATGGCTAATTCGTAACAGTTCGTACGACCTCACTCGTACGAATTAGTACGATTTTTGCTAAAACGTACATATTTGACGAGTTGCCCAATTCGTATGAATTCGTACGAATGACCCTGACCCCGCCCCTAAACCTACCCATCACGTGGGTTTAGACAAATCGTACAAATTCGTACGAATGAGGTCGTACGAATTCGTACGAATTAGCCATCTTTTAATCACTCGTCAAATTCGGACGAATTGGTCATGAGATTGCGTTGAACTTGCTAGACCTACTTTTTCTTTGCACAAAACTCTCCAGAAAGTGCCATTTTGGTTTATTTTTCACAAAAAAAATCCCGGGGGGGCAAACCCTCGGACCCCCCTAGTGAGAGACTACCCCACACATAATTAAATCCAAATTTAACCCCTGTATATATATATATATATATATATGCCAAATTCCATAAAAAAAAGGGTCACAGCTTAATGTCCATTGGGAAATGTGGTTCCAATGGCCAAACCATTATTATAGCAAAATTCTTTACACAACACCCCGGACCTCACTAATTTTCAAACCCTGGTTACGGCCTTGCTGCCGTACCATGAGTGCAGCAGGCGTAATGATATGACGCAGCGCCTGAAAATAGTTCCGTTGTGTTGACGGAAGGTAGCCTATTTTCAGGCGCTGCGTCATGGGGGAGCTAACTCTGGGGGAGTTGTAAAATGAGCCTATTTCCAAAAAAAGTGGAGTATCCCTTTAAGTAACCTTGTAAGTACATGTTCAATTATTCTAATAACCCGAACCCTAACCCAGGGGTGTCCAATCCTGCTCCTGGCCCACTATTCTGCAGAGCTTAGCTCCAATCAAACACACCTGAACCAGCTATTCAGTGTCTTACTAGGCAGACTAGAAACTTCCAGGCAGGTGTGTTAAGGCAAGTTGGAGCCCTCCAGGAGCAGGATTGGATGCCCTGCCCTAACCGAAGTGAAGGGAATTTGTCCTCTGCATTTAACCCATCCAATTTAGTGCACACATATTAGGAGCAGTGAGTAGTGTGGACACATACACACCTGGAGCAGTGGGCAGCCATTCACAGTGGCGCCCGGGGAGCAAGTCCGACACTCTAACCATTAGGCCACAACTGCCCCAAAAGAAGTTTACTGGGGCCCTCTGATTGAGAAACACTGCTTTATTGTGCCGCGTCTGGTAAACCTTAACATTAAACTTGCTGTTTATCTATGTTGGCAGGTTATGGAGGCTCGTCCCCCCTTGCTTCCCAAAGTGACCTCAGTGCTGGCCGGGGCTCTGGTGGCCCTAGGCATTCAGGAACACCGGCCCGCCCTTAACCTGCTCCCACTCCTGCTGTCTTCCCTCCGACAGGCCCGGGCATGAGGTGCAGAGCCAGACGTGTGGATGTGTATGCTCAGAAGAACTTATGTTTGGTCACACCATTAAAAAGACTGAAAAAGATGCAGTGCTGTATTGTGTGGGTTGAGTGAATGAGATGGTGGTAACTGGGTTTTTTTGGGGGGGAGGGGGAGTGGGGAAATATTTGCAGGAACAAGAACAAACAAAAGTTAAAACTGTTCTCACTTGAAACAATCTTCTGTGTGCGCTCTTTCCATTATTTGAATATCACCAAACTGGAATCAGTTACCTCAACACTCTGGTTTGTATTGCAACAGGTTTCAGAGCCTAGCTTATATATGTACTCCACTATAAGGCAGGATGACCCACTAGCGTATCATTTGAGCCATCACTAATTAGGAGGTTAAAACGCACAACTAGGTTTTGATGACCCATTACATTTCTGTAGAGGTAAATTCAAGGTCATTGTAAACAAGTCTGCTGAGACTGACGCTGTAAAACTTTATGACTTTTAAGTACAGTGGGTTGATGAAGTTCTTCTCAGTGACAGTAATAAATCAGCAGAGGTGGTGGACTAATAGGAATTGTGCACGGTTAGTCTTGATCGGCGTACATTGTGGTAATTAATTATATATTTTTTATTATATTTATATATTCATTGGCGTTTTCATCAGTTGCATTGATTTAAATGTTGTAGAGACTGGTACCTGCTTGCAGCTGTTTCATTTAGTAGCGAAAACCAATGAAAGACGTCAGGGTTGCTGCCTTTTTCATGACCTTTGAGGGAAAGTGATGCCAAACTGGAATGACTGAATTGAGGGTAGAGTTTAGTTGTTCTGGACTTGTTAGTGTTTGCTCATCGTTTTCAATGCACAATGCAAGTTATTAAGTTCCCTGCAAAATAACATTGCCAAATCTGCACTGGTCTTACTTAAAAAGTCATGCCGTCCATGTAAATTGAAGCACTCTTAAGTCCACAGTTGATGCTTTCAAATTCTTTTTCATTCAAATATGTTCAGGAGTGTATTTCCATAGGCAAAACTCTATCATTAATGCATAACCCATACATTAAGGATAAGAGGTTTGCAGATGCTAAATTTGTCTCCAGGTTAATTGGTCGGTTCAATTCAGTAGTCCATTTTTTTTTCCCATTGGTTCAATATTTGACTTTCAGTGCATTTGGTGTGATGACACATGCTGTCCACCCACATAAATTACCATGTGTTTTAACAAATGTTTTCAATTGCTTTGACATCCTGTGGTAAAGACATAAACCAAACATTTTAATCAACTTCCTGTATCACAAAGTAGTCGGAACACATCTTTCTCAAGTGCTTGCGCTTTTAAATGGACAATAAAGCATTAAACATTGTCACTGTAATCTGCAATTCCGTTTCAAAGGTTGAAACAGAACCATAAACAACATGTCTGAGTCATTGTTCTGCTGTGATTAGTTCTGCGCTAATTACCCAAAAACCTGAATATGTTGTGGGACAAATAAAATGCCTACTGTCATTGATATCTTTGGTCTCTGTTTGTATGCCTCACCCAGTTCCATTTAGATTATCTACTAAATAATTAGTTTAATAAGCTGCATATAAAGGCATTTTTCATAAGGTAAAACATTTTGAGGATTTCTTTGAATAGTTTAAATCTCTTGATTTTCTCTTGAAATCTCTCTTTTTTTTTTGAAAAAAAAAATAAAATACTTTTTTCAGCTAATGCATTCAATTGATCAAAAATGCTAGTAAAGACTTTTACATTGTTAAAACAATGTAAACTATTTCAAATAAACACTGTTCTTTTGTACTTTTTCTATCCATCATAGAATATCAATAAATGTATCAGTTTCCACACAAAAAAATTAAGCAACAACTGTTTTTAGTATTGATAAGATATCCTTAATTATAATATGGATCGCTTGATTGTAATGGCTGCTGAAAACTCAGCTTTGCATTTAATAAATTGCATTAAAAAAAACCTGTTACTTTAAATGGTAATAATAAAATATTACTATTTTACAAAATATTTTTGTTGAAATAAATGTGGTCTTGATGAACATAAGAAACTTCTTTCAAGAACATGAAAACATAAAATTTACCCACCTTAAACTTTTGAACTAATTATTTTATGCAGTTTAAATCTCTTGATTTTAATGATAGTACATTTATTGCTAGAAAATTGGGTAACAGGGTTACAAATTAAGCCTAAATTAAGTTGTTGTTCAGTAGGGACCAAATGTTGGTTTGTAGTTATTGATAAATTTATGTTTCCCATAAATTAAAGAAAAACATTTGTTTGTTCATTTTTTTTTTACCAGGGTTGAATGTTTCAGCTAGATGTAACAATATAATATATGCAAAAATCGACAAAACCGTCTCCCTCCAAGTTATCCAACAATTTTAAATCTTTAAAAAAGTAATGCAACGCCAACTAGAAACCACTTGAAAGTCATTATGTTTGTTTTAAAAACTAAACCATAGCAAAGGTGTTTCTTTAATTTTAGTGACCAAACATGGAGGCAGACACAGCTGTTTTTAAAACTAGAAGTAATTCTAGACTTGGATGATTTTATTCATAACAGCCACATTCATGGACAACATGATGTTTTTGGCATGCAAAAAATAATAACAAGTAACAGCTCTATGTCATCACTATGACTAAAACTCTTCCAGTCCTCAGTGACGAATGTGCAGTGCTGTACATCTAATCATGTTCAACATGTCTGCACCTTGTAAACATTCATCTTGGCATCCTCTATCTACACATTGAGCAGGGCAAGCTGGAATGAATTAGGGTTTCTTCATGTAAATGTGTCTAATACAACTGCTATTATTGTCAATATTAAAACAACTTAGTACAACAATGTACAGCTAATATACAATGGACATCCATGAATCCCGTCAGTGTAAAACTGACTGTGATGACTGGTGACATCTACAAAGACTACAAGATGGACGCCATGTAGACGGAAGAAAGACTAGTTTCTTCTGCCTCTATGGCCGGTCTAGTTCACCGGCTCTATATTTAGTCACTATCCACACATTTGACTATGGCAGACATCTGAGTTATGTGTCAGTTACCGATTTCAAAACAACTGGGTTCCCTCAAGGCATGACACTATTGGCTGTTCCATTCGAGACGTCATGGTCATGACTGTAAGCTTGACAGATGACAAGATAGATGTGTAAACGGAGCTGTCGGTTTAACAGTCTTCAGAAAAAGCTCTGTGGGTGTTGGGAAAGCGCTGGTGGTTGTAGTCTGGATCCTCACTCAGTCTTTTCTTTATATCACTCTTCACCTGGAAGACAATTAAGGATGAAAAGGGTTTTAAAGGTTTAAAGAAATTCAGAGAGCAAGATCACAATGCATTTTTCAGATATTACCTTCTATGTAGTGAGTTATATAGCTGTTTGTTAATGTAAAAGGTCTGCAAAGTTTCAAAGAAGTGCCCAATAAATTGAGTGATCGTCTCACAAAAGAAAGAACAGATTCTAAACTGCCTGAAAAGAGACATCAATAATTCCAGTCTCACTTCCTGTTAAAAACCTATGTAGGTTTCTAACAAATCTGCATAATGCCAGCCTGTGGTCTTTATTGGCTGCCCGCGAACAACATCTACTTTGACCCGCCCTCAACTACACACTATAGTTGTAGCTGAGGCCTGGAAGAGTTTGGTTCGAGGACAATTACTGTTCATATCACTGTGTATACAAGTGCCGAGGAAGCACCCGGAGCTAAAATTCAGATGGACGTTTCCGACATACACTGTTAGCAGTAGGCCAATCGCGACAGACTGGGCCATCTGACCAATCAAAGCAGAGTATGATCTCAGAAAGGAGGGTTTAAAGAGACTGAGTCCTTTATCAAACCGTTTCAGACACTGTGAGAAAAGAGGTGATGCTGCAATGAATATTATGAGAAAATTAAAGTATTTTTGCCCTTTGATGCATCTATTGTAAGAGACCCACAAAACAAAATTAGGAACCATTAAATAGCATAAAAGGGGCACTTTAATATTCTGAACTAATAATGGGGAATTGTGGGAACAGGACCTAAATTGAGAGAGGGTGGATATAAAAATTCTATGGGAATAAGATGAAACTCACAGGAGTGGGATGGAAAAAAATCAGTCCCAAGACTAAAACTATAACAATAATTTGTATTAACTAAAATAAAATACAATATAAATATCAGATGAAAAACTTTAAAAATAATAAAACTAATAAAAATGACTAAAGTACATACCAAATTTACCAAAAATTCAACTAAAATGAAAATGAAACCATAATAATAAAAGCTAATTCAAAATATCAATAAATACTACAATGTTCTCAGGATGGATAAAGGCCCTGTCCCAAATGGCGCACTTCATGCGGACTTTCGGTCTCGTGGACTTAAAATGCGCGTGCTCGCCGAGTCTACGATTCCGTAGGCCGTCCCATTTAGAATTTTAACGCTCTGAAGTGTGCTCAGCAGCGCCCCCTGTGTACCCTTGAAGCGGTCTTCCGCGAAGCCCGCATAGATGCAGGCTCCACGCACTTTAACTACCCAGGAATCCTTGCGAAAGGCCAATCAGACAACGGATGGGAGGAGATTTCGCTCACGGACAATTGTTAACATGGCTGAGAAGAAAATATTTAAGTGTAATTATCATTACGGTTGTTATGAAAAGTTTATACAAACATTACGATCATCGACCAGTGGTTGATGTCTCAAACATAGGCTAATAATAGCGAGCTGAATAATATGATCGCATTATGATTCATTAAATAAATAGAACAGAATGTCAGGGCTTTACTGAGTCATATGTAAACACAACAACAATAGGCAGCATATTTCCCTGAACCTGTAGCTCCTGTCCATAACAACAATCAGACCGTCTTCCTGTTTCCGGCGTGGCCTAGGTGTGGGTTTAGTTTCTTACTTGTTGTGTGTATGCTTCCTGCAGCTCTGGTGCCTCTAGCTCCCCCTGTAGGCTGTCTGGGGTAGTAACAGGTCGTACCCCTGCTGTCCTGGCAGCTCGACTCACGGCTTCAGCTAAAGAGAGGTGAGGACCCTCTCCCTGTGCGGTCTGTGAGCCACATGAATGCAAAGAAAGGA